AGGATACATTCCGAGTAAGAATTTCAGATTAGTCCCGTATACCGGGTAGTGCTGTGGCTGACCCCCTTAAATAGCTGCCGCCGCACTACTCCCACCTTGTTTCCTTTTCGAGGCGCCATAAATCACCGACAAGAGAATTGGAGTGATCCAATAGCTCACATAACCGTCGTTACATACGCAACCTTCGTTATGTAGCACTATATTGGATCACTCCAATATGGTGTCACAATACCAGATTAATCGGTGAACTAGGCATGGCCAGACAAGAGCAAAATCCCATAGGACTGAGCTCAGGGCAGTCATGGTTGCTCCAGGGAAGTGGAGGCAACACCCAACACGACCATCCCAACCTGGTTGGCGGCAGCAACATTGAGGGGAACTCCTTGGAGCAGGGCCCACGATGTAGCTACCCTTCTAGTAGAATGTGCCACCACAGCAGACGGCAAAGGCCGGCCGGGTAGCTGATATGCTGTAGTAATAGTGTCCACAATCCAATGTGAGAGTTTCTGTTTTCGATAGGCTCTTCCCCAGAACTCTCTGACCATAACACACAAACAGCTGATCCGACTGTCGTATTGTCTTAGTCTGTGTAACGTAAGTGTCTAGTGCCCTCACCAGGCACAGCACACTTGGGGAAAAACCCAGCCCACTCACAGCCATGGGAGTTGCGTATGCAGACAAATGTAATGGCCGGTTCACATAACTGTCAGACAGGACCTTCGGCAAGAAAGAGGGGTTAGGCCGGATGATAACACTCCCCTTGTCTGCACCCATTCGGAAACATTCAGCGCTCACTGAAAGAGCATGAAGTTCACTAACCCTCTTAGTGGAGGTAATAGCCAACAGGAATGCCACCTTCATGGATAGGTGCTTCAAAGACGCTAACCCCAGGACTCCAAGGGTGGCCTAGGAAGTGCTGACAGCACCACATCAAGGTCCCAGTTTGGCACCGAACGGGCCTTCGCTGGACGCAGACGTCCAACTCCTTTCATAAACTTGGAGCGCAATGGGTGGCCACTCGTGGGTCCCTCGGGGCCATCGTCATGGCACGCCGAAATTGCGGCCAAATACACTCTCAAAGTAGATGCCGCTCGGCCCGAATCAAGCAGTGATTGTAAAAAGTGTAAAACCGTTTATACATCACACGACTCGGGGGCAACACATTATGACCCTCACACCATGAACAGAATATGCCCCACCGCATTTTATATGACGCGTTGGTAGAGGAAGCCCTGGTGTTCTGTAACGTGTTCACCACATTGTCCTGAATGCCTAGACTTGCCCATTTACGCCTCTCAGGGGCTAAGCCCAAAGCTGGAGGCGGTGTGAGTCTGGATGCCAGAGCGTCCCCCGAGCCTGAGAAAGAAGGTCGGGTCTCAGCGGCAGCTGCCATGGGATCGCAGAGAGGAGGGACAACAGGAGGATGAACCATGGTCGTCTCAGCCAGTATGTGGCTATCAGGAGCAGTCGGTGGCCCTTCAAACTGACCCTGTCTTGCATAGCTGTGATCAGGGGAAATGGTGGGAACGCATAAAGTGTCATTGCCGACCAATCGTGAGCGAGGGCATCCAAACCCAGAGGGCCTGGAGGGTCTGATATCGAGAACCAGCTGGGACAATGAGTGTTCTCCTGAGATGCAAAAAGGTGCACCTGCGCTCTCCCGACCTTTCCCACAGCTGTAACACCACCTGAGGGTGTAGACTCCAGTCCCCCTACATCGGGCCATTTCTCGAAAGCATGTCTGCTGCCCGGTTCTAGACCCTGGGGATATGATCTCAGTCCCCCCTGGTGATTGATATATGCCACTACCGGGGTGTTGTCTGATCTGACCAGGACATGCTTCCCCTCCAAGTAGAGCAGAAACTGTTGGAGTGCCAGGGGACAAGGAGCTGCTCAGATGGTGCTTCTTCCAGCTTGATATCTCTCGCTAAAAGCTCCCGTGTTTCTTCCGTCACCACCGGGGGTGCCTCCATAGCTGTGCTCCCAGCTACAGATGGCGCTGTGGACTGGGTCGATCCCTAAAGTGCTCAGAACATTGAAGCACTGTCACCCAACTCCAACTCGTCTCCAGCGTGGAGAGAGAGGGCGTCGTTGCCGTCATCATCCCCCCGTAAAGCGTCCACTTCCTCCCAAAGGCTTTCCGCCTGACGTTCGAGGCGGATCAACTCCTCAGCCATACTGAGTTTGGAGGGGGGGGGGGTGCCCAAAGCGGCCGAATGTGAGCTGCCGCGAAGACGCATCACCCCAGAGGGGGGAATACAGTCATCAGATGGGGAGGACTGTACTGTGGCCCTCATCCCCACCCGACGTGCTAAGCAAATACGTTCTCCAAAGGCGGCGCAGGCCAAACAACTATTGGGTTCTCTAACCGCTCTCCGTGCGTGATCTAACCCAAGACAGGTCATGCAGGCAGAGTGTGCATCCCCCTTAGGCAGGGGTACCCCGCATCTCTCACAATTAAACACCATATTAGTTATGTAGTTTCTCTGTGAAAGTGAAGCCAACAGTGTGATATTACTATGTGTCTATAGTATACACTGCGCAATCCTGTAATGTTCAGATACTACAGACCTACAGTACCAGCCTTAGTCTCATACTATCTGAAGGAGAGTAGACGTGAATAGAGTGTGAACAGCCTGATCGGTATACTTCTGTGCTTATACACGCTAACATAGAGCTCTTACCAAGCGAATCGTCGCTGGAATGAGCCTAGGAAAGGAAGAGGTTGGAGTAGCGCGGCGGCAGCTATTTAAGGGGGTCAGCCACAGCAGCGAGCGGAAGGATTGGTCATTCAGAACAGCATCATTTCCGTTTAATTGAACGTTGCACACCGTGTTTTCGTGCTGAACGCAGCCCAGGAGAATCAGTAAATTAGGATCATTCATGGTGATACAGTAATTCATAGAGGAATATGTGATGCATTTTAAAAGATTACAAATGTTGGTAATGTAATTACTGTCAAGTTTATAATAAATAAGAACAATAAGCCATTGAAATTGAGAAATGTGACAATACTGGTTTTTGGAACAATTGTATAAGCTATGTAATTCTGAGAAAGGGATATTGTGCACTCTATTTTGTACCTATGTTTGATGATTTCATGCAATTTATTCATTACAGCTGACTCAAGTTGATGCTACGTCTCCGTGTTGAATCATTTATCTTATTTCCCCCCTTTCAGGGGTATATAACACCTGTATATTGTAATGAACACTAGTGAACTATTTAACTAACTATTTAAAACAAACATAAACAGAGGTAGTAGGAGCAGATCCACATACCAGGTTACAGCAGCACAGCCTTCTGCAGTGCCTGGACGCTCACCAACTCATAGAGCTATAGGCTGCTATACAATCCACCAACCTACGAATCAGACTGGATCCATGTTCAAACTGTTTCCTGCAAATTGCACTCATTACATCCCCCAGTAGGTGTCAGCACCACTCCATTGAGTCCTCTGTCCTGCTCTGTCCTGCTCAAAGTCACAGCGAATCAAACTGAAAGAAGTCACTGTAATGTCCAGTAGGCTACAGTCAGTGCATCATATTATCATACGTCTTTCAGTCAAGTATACAAATAAATGCCCATTTTCAAAACAAACCCAAACTCTACCCCTAGGCACATGCCTACTGGGGGATTGGTAATGGGCAATCCAGTTGTTGTTTGGTGCTTGTTCATGATATAACTATATCTGGATGCGTTATTTGATACAGGTTTACTTATGCATTCACAAACTGAGTCTGTTGCAGGTGTGTTGGAGTGTATATTGAGATTCTAAAGTAGAAGCTACAGTACAGTACACTGCTTACTTTCAAAATGTCACTTCCTTACAGAAATTAGAAATTCTTATGTGTGGCTCTGCCAACCCTCATCAGAGCAGTGTTCAATATCGCTGCATCAGTTTCTGTCCCTCTCTCTTTCCCCACTGTCCTTCACTAACTATTTTCTATATGTTACTTTTTAATCTCCCTCTCCCCACTCATTCTAGCCACATTTCATTGCTCCCCCTCTTACTGGAGACTGAAGAAGAGGAGAAATAGGGGAGGGGGAGGGAGAGAGAAGAGGAGAGGAGAAATAGGGGAGGGGGAGGGAGAGAGAAGAGGAGAAATAGGGGAGGGGGAGGGAGAGAGAAGAGGAGAGGAGAAATAGGGGAGGGGAAGGGAGAGAGAGGGGGATAGAGACAGAGAAAGTGAGAAGAGGGGAAAGACAAGGAGAAAGTCTTTCTGAGCAGAGAGCGAGGTTAAGGGGTGGGTGGGGGTAGAGAGAGATGAGTAGTGTTTTGGGAATATATTGGATATTGGGGTGATTCTGCCTCTGTCTGTCTCAACCTCTCCGTTTTCATCAGAACTGCTCATTCCTTTCCTCCCTCTCTTCCCCGCTCCCTGTATTGCTGCCAGCTTCTCTTCCTCTCTACCATCCCAACCTCCCTCCCTGCCCCACTCTCCTTGTTTCTCTCTCTCTCTCCCCCTCCTCCTCCTCTTCTCCCTCCCTCCCTCTGTTGCTGCCTGACTTGCTCCTGACGTGTCCTCCCTCCCTCTCTATTCCACTCTACCCTGCCTCTCTTTCTCCTTCTCTGTTGTTCCCTTTCTCTTTCTCTGCTCTCTATGTTCAGTAGTGCAACATGAGGCAGTCTGTGGCTATCTGTCTGTTTGGACTCTCAGCTCTGCTCCAAGGTGAGGGACTTTCATTTTATCTCTCTCTCTCTCTGTGTGTTTATGTGTGTGTTTGTTGTGTGTGTTTGTTGTGTATGTGTGTCTGCAGGTGTGTGTCTGTACGTGTACGTACAGTGTGTGTGTGTACTGCATGTATCTGTGTGTGTGTGTGTGTGTGTGAGAGAGAGATCACTGTATGCATAGTGGCACTGCAGTGACAGTGAATTTACACAACTTTGTATAGACAGGGACACACAGCTTGTATGTTTGGGTGCAAGGCCATTGATATATGAGATAACTCAACCGTACAGTTCCAGCTGTATAGAAGAGAGAAGAGAGGAGAGGGAAATGAACAGAGAGGGAGGAGAGAAGAGGAGCAGGAATAAAGAGAGACAACAGAGAGGAACGATCACAGAGCTTACAGGTTAGGATGTTGTTCATCACAGTTGTAAAATCAAACCCTCCTGTCTGTTTTAATCCATTATTGGTTGATTCATTCATCTCTGCACCAGCAGCAGTATCTTAGATGGCTAACATCTTGTGACTGTTTATTGATATGGGCATTTCCATGCCCCATGAGCTCTAACATGTAAAGTTCATAATGGGGAGCACGTCAAAAGCTAATAGTCAATATTTTTGAGAGGTTAAGGCATATATACATTTTTCTACCATTTTCCATCCTAAAAATTGAATAAGCAAAGGATGTGATGTCTGGTCAAACAGATGGAAAACGGGTCATAGAAAACATCTAGTAGAAAAAGTCTGAAAAGGTATCAGAATACATAAAAACCCAATAATGTTGAAGTGAATGCCCCTGCCGACTAATATCAGTATTTATACACTGTATTTAGTTTGGCAGAAATTATTTGCCTTCTGTACGTTTAAGCAATATTGCCTAGTGTCTTGTCATTCTGTTACCAAAATTCCACATATCTTTAAGATATTTTCTAATTTCTCTCCTCATGAGGAAGGAGGATGAGGATGACAATGACAGAAGTAACAAGTAAAGGTACATAACAATTTGGTTTATGATTTATGAAGTGATTAAACCGTGTCATTCCGTTACCAAATCGGTAACTAAAAATATATGTAATAAAAGGACTGCAATTGAATTGGCCACAATCGGAAATCATAGTAGTCACAAACCACAGTTGGGTCACCTGCTACTGTCCTCCCTTCCACTGGCATACTGTTATATACAGCTCATTACAGTTTTCTTTCTCTTTCTGTCGTGTGGTGTTCAAAGCAAGAGTTTGAAAATAGTCTGGACAACCCCTGCTCCCTCTATTTACTGTAACCATCCCCCTCACCCACTGAGCACCGACCCACACTGGACGTCCATGGACGTTGAAAAGTAGTTGAAATTTGGTCAGTCCAAATCCGAACCAATCATAGACATCTGTTTCACAAGTTTGGACGGTACAGCACAGTCGAGCACAGTACAGTAAAGAAAAGTAGAGTAGAGTAGAGTAGAGTATGGGTTGGTAAACACAGTACAGTACAATACTGTACTGTACAGTAGAGTAGAGTTGAGTAAAATACAGTAGAGCACACTGGAGTACAGTATAATTTACTGTATTGTACTGTTCTGTAATTTAATGAACTATACTGTACTGAACTCTACTGTACTATACTGTGCTGTGCTGTACTGTACTGTACAGAACTCTACTTTGGGCCAGTAACCGAAAGGTTGCTTGTTTGAATCCCCGAGCCAACAAGGTGAAAAATCTGTCGATGTGCCCTTGAGCAAGGCACTAAACAACAATTGCTCCAGGGTCGTTGTTGATAATGGCAGACCCTGTCCGTGACCCCACTCTCCGAGGGTGTCTCAAATATGCAAGAAAACTCATTTCCAATTCTATTCTACTCTACTGTGCTGTACTGTGCTTTACTGCTGGACTGTGATGTCCACAGTTGGGAAACATAGACCTCTATGATTGGTAGAGATTTGGCCTCGTTTGGGGGCAGAGCTCATTAGAATAATAGTCAGTGTGTAGAATAATACCCAGACATGCAAAGGAGGATATTAATAAAGACAGTACATTATGAAGATAGGCCAAAACTGCTTCTCCAATAAAAATCCCAGATTACGCTTGTAGGCGATGCCATGGCGACATTGGCTAGCTAAACTCATGCACTGAAACGTCAGGTCTAACGGTCGTCTCGCTCCGAACGACACACGTGCTGGCCGTCAAATCAAAGGCACTAATCTCATTGACTTCTCAAATCCCAAACTCCGGCCTGGTCTGCTTGGTCTGTTTCGCAAGCATTCCCACCGGAAGTCTTGTGATGTTACTCCTGTGATGTATACATGTTTCTACCTTTGTGTACCTATTCAGGATATGTCACCATGAAGAGAATAACTTTCATAACTATGGATTTCTGTACAAATCAGGGACCCATGATTTCAATATGTTGCCATCATTCTGTTACCGGGTGTTAATCCACTTCCCTTACTATATATAGTTCAATAACCAAAATATATTTTTTCAAACTCAAAGTGTCATATCATAGCTGACACCCCATTCTTTCTGCAAACATCGTCGAATTGTAATTAAGAGTGGATATTTAACAGAGTTTTTGGAAAACTTTGTCACATAAAAACCTGAGGAAGATTTTACCATCATTCTCTTACCAAATGTACATCTGCACTGTTCTTTGAGTAAATGTGTTTTTGTCAAATTTTCTGTGGAAATTGTTAAAAGTAGCCCTTGTGCATAAAGTTGTATAGCTTGTTTAACTTTGCAATGAATGGTTTTTGTTTGGCATATACTTTACAATCGGAGTCTCAGCATCATTCTCTTACCTTGGAATTGGCCGTATGGAAACATCTGGAACTATCTATCTGTGGGGTGATATTCACCAGAGTAATACAATACAATACAATACATTGCAATACAATACAACAAAACACAACACATGAATACCTCAGTGGGCAATTTATAAGCATTGTGGTGCATAATATCATATTACATAGACACAACATACCGTTTTACAGTACCAGTCAAAAGTTTGGACACACCTACTCATTTCAGGGTTTTCTTTATTTTTTACTACTTTCTACATCGTAGAATAATAGTGAAGACATCAACACTATGAAATAACACATATGGAATCATGTAGTAACCAAAAAAGTGTTAAATAAATCAAAATATACTTAATATTTGAGATTCTTCAAAGTAGCCACCCTTTGCCTTGATGACAGCTTTGCACACTCTTGGCATTCTCTCAACAAGCTTCATGAGGTAGTCACCTGGAATGCATTTCAATTAACAGGTGTGCCTTGTTAAAAGTTAATGTGTGGAAATTCTTCCCTTCTTAATGCATTTGAGCCAATCAGTTGTGTTGTGACAAGGTAGGGGTGGTATACAGAAGATAGCCCTATTTGGTAAAAGACCAAGTCCATATTATGGCAAAAACAGCTGAAATAAGCAAAGCGAAATGACAGTCCATCATTACCTTAAGACATGAAGATCAGTCAATATGGAACATTTCAAGAACATTGAAGTTTCTTCAAGTGCAGTTGCAAAAACCATCAAGCGCTATGATGAAACTGGCTCTCATGAGGACCGCCACAGGAAAGGAAGACCCAGCATTACCTCTGCTGCAGAGGATAAGTAAATTAGAGTTAACTGCACCTCAGATTGCAGCCCAAATAAATGCTTCACAGAGTTCAAGTAACAGATACATCTCAACATCAACTGTTCAGAGGAGACTGCGTGAATCAGGCCTTCATGCTCAAATTGCTGCAAAGAAACCACTACTAAAGGACACCAATAATAAGAAGAGACTTGCTTGGGCCAAGAGCAATGGACATTAGACCGGTGGAAATCTGTCTGGTCTGATTAGTCCAAATTTGAGATTCTTGGTTCCAATTGCCGTGTCTTTGTGAGACGCAGAGTAGGTGAACGGATGATCTCCGCATGTGTTGTTCCCACCGTGAAGCATGGAGGAGGAGTGATGGTGTGGGGGTGCTTTGCTAGTGACAGTCAGTGATTTACAGTCGTATGAAAAAGTTTGGGCACCCCTGACAATTTCCATGATTTCCATTTATAAATAATTGGGTGTTTGGATCAGCAATTTGATTTTGATCTATCAAATAACTGATGGACACAGTAATATTTCAGTAGTGAAATTAGGTTTATTGGATTAACAGAACATTTGCAATATGCATCGAAACGAAATTAGACAGGTGCATAAATTTGGGCACCCCAACAGAAAAATCACATCAATATTTAGTAGAGCCTCCTTTTGCTAAAATAACAGCCTCTAGACGCTTCCTATAGCCTCTAATGAGTGTCTGGATGAAGGTATTTTGGACCATTCCTCCTTACGAAACATCTCCAGTTCAGTTAGGTTTGATGGTTGCCGAGCATGGACAGCCCGCTTCAAATCATCCCACAGATTCTCAATGATATTCAGGTCTGGGGACTGGGATGGCCATTCCAGAACATTGTACTTGTTCCTCTGCATAAATGCCCGGGTAGATTTTGAGCAGTGTTTTGGGTCGTTGTCTTGTTGAAATATCCAGCCACGGCGTAATTTCAACTTTGTGACTGATTCTTCAACATTATTCTCAAGAATCTGCTGATATTGAGTGGAATCCATGCGACCCTCAACTTTAACAAGATTCCCAGTATCGGCACTGGCCACACAGCCCCACAGCATGATGGAACCCCCACCAAATTTTACTGTGGGTAGCAAGTGTTTTTCTTGGAACGCTGTGTTCTTTTGCCGCCATGCATAACGCCTCTTGTTATGACCAAATAACTCAATATTTGTTTCATCAGTCCACAGCACCTTATTCCAAAATGAAGCTGGCTTGTCCAAATGTGCGTTTGCATACCTCAAGCGACTCTGTTTGTGGCATGTGTGCAGAAAAGGCTTCTTCCGCATCACTCTCCCGTACAGCTTCTCCTTGTGCAAAGTGCGCTGAATTGTTGAACGATGCACAGTGACACCATCTGCAGCAAGATGATGTTGTAGGTCTTTGGAGGTGGTCTGTGGGCTGTTTTTGACCGTTCTCACCATGCCTCTCCGATATTGTCACGCCCTGGCTCTGGGGACTCTTAAATGTTGAGCCAGGGTGTGGATTTTCTATGTTTAGTTTTCTATGTTTTTTGTTCTAGATCGTTTAGTTCTATGTTGGCCAGGGTGGTTCCCAATCAGAGGCAGCTGTAGCTCGTTGTCTCTGATTGGGGACCATACTTAGGCAGCCTGTTGGCACCAGTTAGTTTGTGGGATCTTGTTCCGTAAAGGTTTGTGTTGTGTAACCTCAGGACTTCACGTATCGTTTTGTTTGTGTGTTGTGTACGAAATAAAATGTACGCTTATCACGCTGCGCCTTGGTCCGTCTCTTCCTGTAACGATCGTGACAGATATCTTACTTGGCCTGCCACTTCTGGCCTTAACTGTGCCTGTGGTCTTCCATTTCCTCACTATGTTCCTCACAGTGGACACGGACAGCTTACATCTCTGCGATAGCTTTTTGTAGCCTTCCCCTAAACCATAATGTTGAACAATCTTTGTTTTCAGGTCATTTGAGAGTTGTTTTGAGGCCCCCATGTTGCCACTCTTCAGAGGAGAGTCAAAGAGAACAACAACTTGCAATTGGCCACCTTAAATACCTTTTCTTATGATTGGATGCACTTGTCTATGAAGTTCAAGGCTTAATGAGCTCACCAAACCAATTGTGTGTTCCAATTAATCAGTGCTAAGTAGTTACAGGTATTCAAATCAACAGAATGACAAGGGTGCCCAAATTCTTGCATAGCCTATTTTTCACATCTGATTTAATTTCATACAACTTAATATTGCTACACAAAAAATATTTGTCTGGACAATACCCCAGTACTCAGCTTTTATTAGAAAATGAATGGCATGCCACTGTGATCATTTTCTGTGACGACAGAGTAAATTATTATGCAGCCTCAGAGGGTGCCCAAACTTTTTCATACGACTGTATGTAGAATTCAAGGCACACTTAACTAGCATGGCTACCACAGCATTCTGCAGCAATACGCCATCCCATCTGGTTTGCGCTTAGTGGGACTATAATTTGTTTTTCAACAGGACAATGACCCAACACACCTCAAGCCTGTGTAAGGGCTATTTCACCAAGAAGGAGAGTGATGGAGTGTTGCATCAGATGACCTGGCCTCCACAATCACCTGACCTCAACCCTATTGAGATGGTTTGGGATGAGTTGGACTGCAGAGTTAAGGAAAAGCAGCCAATAAGTGCTCAGCATATGTGGGAACTCCTTCAAGACTGTTGGAAAAGCATTCCAGGTGAAGCTGTTTGAGAGAATGCCAAGAGTGTGCAAAGCTGTCATCAAGGCAAAAGGTGGCTACTTAGAAGAATCTCAAATATAAAATATATTTTGATTTGTTTAACAATATTTTTGGTTACTACATGATTCCATATGTGTTATTTCATAGTTTTGATGTCTTCACTATTATTCTACGATGTAGAAAATAGTAAAAATAAAGAAAAACCCTTGAATGAGTAGGTGTCCAAACTTTTGACTGGTACTGTATATACTGTACTGTATGTGGGCCTACATTCACTCGTTAGACATTGCTACAGAATTTAATCAACTGCACAGATACATGAAGTCTGATACAGTTGTGAAACCGAAATGAGGGAAGTCAGTCCACGATGGAGCTGCTAGAAGTGTGGTTCCTGGTCCTCCTGTCTGTCTGTCTGTCTGTCTGTCTGTCTGTCTGTCTGTCTGTCTGTCTGTCTGTCTGTCTGTCTGTCTGTCTGTCTGTCTGTCTGTCTGTCTGTCTGTCTGTCTGTCTGTCTGTCTGTCTGTCTGTCTGTCTGTCTGTCTGTCTGTCTGTCTGTCTGTCTGTCTGTCTGTCTGTCTGTCTGTCTGTCTGTCTGTCTGTCTGTCTGTCTGTCTGTCTGTCTGTCTGTCTGTCTGTCTGTCTGTCTTTTTGTCTGTCTGAGTGGAGTGTGTTAGTGTTTAATGTGTCACTATTTCCAGGAATAGATCAGACGTTTTAACAGCCACAGAAAATACGCTTTCTCCCTCTCGTCACTCTCTATCATCTTGATTATCCTCTTTCATCCTCTCTTCACACTCTCTCCTCTTGATTCTCCTCTTTCACCCTCTCTTCACTTCCCCGCCCCCTGCCTCTTCCAGTCATCTATAAATCTATGTACTTGTTTACAAAGCAGCTTCGTTCAAAACCATTTGAAACCGTTTCATTCAGATGATCTCTTATTTTTTTGATGTATTTTTTCTCATCATGTTTTAATCTCTCACACCCTTCTCTATTAATATTTTCTTCTCCTACAGCTCATCTCTTCCCCCTGTTTTAGATATTCTTCCTCTATCAGTGCAATCATATCTCTTTCACTCTCCTCCTTTTTCTATATATTTCTCTCTCTCATTTTTCCTTCTGTCTTCTGGAATGTAGCTGTCTCTTTGTAACTGTCTATTTTGTCTCCTCTGATCCACTGTCTTCCTATTCTTTCCCTCTCGTCATTGCACTCTCTCTCTCCCGCTCTCCTCCCTCCTCCTCATCCATTTCCCTCCTTTCCACTCCTTATCCCCCTCCTTCTCTCTCTCCCTCCCCCTCTCTCAGTCTCTGAGCAGGGTCCCCACCAGCGTAATCTATTGAGGGAGCTACTGAGGGACTATAACCGTATGGAGAGACCTGTGGCCAACGACTCTCTACCACTCACTGTCCGATTCTCCTACACTCTCTTACAAGTCATGGATGTGGTACGCTCCCATGTTCTCTTACACACACACACACACACACACACACACACACACACACACACACACACACACACACACACACACACACACACACACACACACACTAATTTAATTGTCTTCATCTTATTACAGGATGCGAAAAACCAGATCCTCACCACTAATGCCTGGCTTCAGATGGTGAGCATGTCTGTGCGTGTCCATGCATGTGTGTCCATGCTTGTGTGTGTGTGTGCACATGTGTGTTGCTCCTTGTAACCTTAATAATTGATTGACTGATTGACTGGATTTATATAGCAATGGTTTGACCACTACCTTCAGTGGAACCAGTCAGAATACCCAGGAGTGAAAACCCTTCGCTTCACTACTGACCAGGTCTGGATACCTGATATACTACTGTACAACAGGTGGGTCTGACACACACACACACACACACACACACACACACACACACACACACACACACACACACACACACACACACACACACACACACACACACACACACACACACACACACACACACACACACACACACACACACACACACACACACACACACACACCTACACACACACACACCTATCTCTGTTTTGCCCTTCTCAGTGCCCATGATAAGTTTGATGCCACCTTTAAGACAAATGTGCTGGTCAACTCCAGTGGCTTCTGTGAGTACCTACCTCCAGGTACGTCTCTCTTTTTATTCCTCTCTGACCTTCCTCTCTCATTTTAGGGATATTCACTCATAGTTTCACATAGACATACCGGTAATGCACTTCTCTCTCAATCTCTCTTTTATTTTCTTCCCCTCTCCCTTCTCTCTCTCCCTCTCCCCCCATATCTCTCACCATCCCCCACTGTCCCTGTCCAAGGTATTTTCAGCAGTGCGTGTAATGTGGACGTGCGTTGGTTTCCCTTTGACATCCAACGCTGTGAGCTGAAGTTTGGCTCGTGGACGTTTGACGGCTGGCTGCTGGACCTCCAGATGAAGGAGGCTGACCTGTCAGGATACATGTCCAATGGAGAGTGGGACCTGCTGGGTGAGACAGCTCTGTCTGCCCCCTGACCCAGCTTGTCCCTCCACACTTTACCCTCCCTCTCTTCTTTTCCATCCCTCTTGTATCTCTCTCTCCGCCGTCTTATTTTCTAATCTCTCACTCCCTCTTTCCTCCTCTCCCCCCTCTTATAGGTGTACCAGGTGATCGTCATGAGATATTTTACGAGTGCTGTACAGAGCCCTACTCTGACGTGACCTTTGTTGTGACCCTACGGCGGAGAACTCTGTTCTACGCTCTCAACCTCCTCGTCCCTTGTGTTCTCATATCCTCTTTGACACTGCTGTTGTTCATACTGCCAGCCCGATCGGGGGAGAAGATAGGTCTAGGTGAGGAGAGGGGGAGGAGGAGAGGGAGGGAGAGGAGGAGGAGAGGTGAAGGACAGGGGGAGGGAGAGGGTAAAAGGGAGCAGGGATGGAGACAGGAGAGATGTTGGAGGTGAAAAGGGGAGGACTGAGGCGCTGGAAAGTGTAAAATATCTCTCTCCCTCTCTCTCTCTCCCTCCCTCTCTTTCTCTACTCTCTCTCCTCTCCTCTCTTTTCTCTGTACGTGCCCGCTCTCATTTACTGAATCTGTTTCAGTAATTCTGCAGCGTTCCAAGAAAACCTCTATTAAATGTTTACGATTAGAAAAGACAGAGAGCAGAGGGGAGGAAGAGAGATGGAAGGAGAGAAGGGGGTGGTGACTGAAGGAGAGGGACAGAGATTGAGGGAGAGAAGGGGGACGGGGAGGTGAGGTGAGGGACAGAGATGGAGAGAAGGGTGGTGGGGAGGGACAGAGATGGAGGGAGAGAAGGATGGGTGGGGTGAGTTGGCAGAGCGATGGAGACTTGTTCTACCCACATGTACTGTTGTATTTCCCAGCGTAAATGTATCCTATTCCCCATCTCTCCAGGCATTACAATTCTTCTCTCTCTGACTGTCTTCATGTTGCTGGTGGCTGAGATTATGCCCGCTACCTCAGACTGCATTCCACTGATAGGTCAGTGACTGTATGTCTGCGTTTTACTAGCCTGCCAATACATATATTGTTGCTCTCGCTAAGTCTAGGGGTCTTAAACCTAGTTAACTGGTCTTTAACCTGATTTAAAGCTATAGTCAGTGGTGTAAAGTACTTAAGTAAAAATACTTTAAAGTAATACTTAAGTAGTTTTTTGGGGTATCTGTACTTTACTTTACTATTTATATTTTTGCCAACTTTTACTTTTACTTCACTACTTTCCCAAAGAAAATAATGTACTTTTTACTCCATACATTTTCCCTGACACCCAAAAGTACTCGTTACATTTTGACAGGAAAATGGTCTGATTCACACACTTATCAAGAGAACATCTGGCGGACTCACTAAACACAAATGCTTCATTTGTAAATTATGTCTGAGTGTTGGAGTGTGCCCCTGGCGATCCGTCAATAAAAAAAACAAGAATATTGTCCCCTCTTGTTTGCTTAAAATAAGAAATTTGAAATAGTTTATACTTTTACTTTTACTTTTGATACTTACAGTGGCTTGCGAAAGTCTTCACCCGCCTTGGCATTTTTCCCATTTTGTTACCTTACAACCTGGAATTAAAATGGATTTTTTTGGGGGGGGTTTGTATCATTAGATTTACACAACATGCCACCCACTTCGAAGATGCAAAATATATTTTATTGTGAAACAAACAAGAAATAAGACAAAAAAACAGAAAACTTGAGCGTGCATAACTATTCCCCCCCCCCCCCAAGTCAATACTTTGTAGAGCCACCCTTTGCAGCAATTACAGCTGCAAGTCTCTTGGGGTATGTCTCTATAATAATTAGCCCACCCAACTACCTCATCCCCATATTGTTAATTATTTTGCACATTTGCACCCCAGTATCTCTATTTGCACATCATCTCTTGCACATCTATCATTCCAGTGATACTAATACTGGGGTGTAATTATTTTGCACTATGGCCTATTTATTGCCTTACCTCCATAACTTGCTACATTTGCACACAGTGTATATATATTTTCTGTTGTATTTTTTGACTTTATGTTTTGTTTTACCACATATGTAACTCTGTGTTGTTGTTTTTATCGCACTGCTTTGCTTTATCTTGGCCAGGTCACAGTTGTAAATGAGAACTTGTTCTCAACTGGCTTACCTGGTTAAATAAAGGTGAAAAAATAATAATATTTAAAATGAAAAAATAAGCTTGGCACATCTAGCCACTGGGATTTTTGCCCATTCTTCAAGGCAAAACTGCTCCAGCTCCTTCAAGTTGGATGGGTTCCACTGGTGTACAGCAATCTTTAAGTCATACCACAGATTGTCACGCCCTGACTCAGGGGACTCTTATATGTTGAGTCAGGGTGTGAATATTCTATGTTGTGTATATCTATGTGTATGATCTAGTATGTGTAGATCTATGTTGGCCGGTGTGGTTCCCAATCTGAGGCAGCTGTCGCTCGTTGTCTCTGATTGGGGATACTTAGGCAGCCTATTGGCACTCGTTAGTTGTGGGATCTTGTTCCGTGTTTAGGCTAGTTTTGTGTTCAGCCTTTGGACTTCACGTTTTTTGTTGTTTTGTTTGTGTGTTTATCGGTAAATAAACATGTATGCATATCACGCTGCGCCTTGGTCTGACCCGTCCTTAAACAAACGTGACAGAAGATCCCACCAAACACGGACCAAGCAGCGTGCCCAGGAGCAGACAGCCTGGACATGGGAGGAGATCCTGGACGGATAGGGATCCTGGACATGGGAGGAGATTCAGGCTGGGATGGATCGCCGTCCTTGGGAGGAGACAGTGGAGGCCCGGTATAGAGAGGAGCAACGGCAACGCAGAAGGCGCCGGCCGAGGAAGAAGCCCGAGAGACAGCCCCAATAAAACATTTTTGGGGGGGCTAAAGGGGTGGTCGGGGAGCGAGAGAGAGGAGCCCCGACCACTGCACCCGGTGGGTTTCCAGATTGATTCCCTATGACCATGGGAAGAAGAGTGGGAACAGTATTATACTGAGGAGTCGGAGGATGACGACGACGATGAGTTTCTGTTCCCTAACTCGTGGGCGCTCCCGGAGGAGTCCTCACTGGAGGAGGAATGCCGAGAGAGAGAGAAGGATCGGATCTGCAGGGTAAGAGAGGAGGCCACCATATTACGGGGGCTGATAGATAGAATAGAGCGGGAAAGATCCATTCAAGAGGAGGCACTGCAGGAGGCTCGTAGGGAAAAGGAGGCAGTAGGGGCACGGAGAGAGGAGCTGGTTAGGCAGCATAAGGAGCGGGGGTTAATAAAGGAACCTAGGTATGCGGAGATACACACTGTATCGCCAGTGCGCATGCACAGCCCAGTGCGTTCTGTGCCAGCGCCCCGCACGTGTCGTGCGAAAGTGGGCAGCCAGCCAGGACGGGTTGTGCCAGCTCTCCGCTCCAGACCTCCAGTCCGCCTCCACAGTCCGGCCCGGCCTGTTCCCGCTCTCCACACCAAGCCAGTGGTGAGTGTCGCCAGCCCGGTATGACCCGTGCCTGCTCCCCGCACCAAGCCAGTGGTGCGTGTTCCCAGTCCGGCCCGGTCCGTTCCTGCTCCTCGCACCAAGACAGTGGTGTGTGTCCCCAGTCCGGCCCGGCCCGTTCCTGCTCCTCGCACCAGACCAGTGGTGTGTGTCCCCAGTCCGGCCCGGTCCGTTCCTGCTCCTCGCATCGGGGTCTAGTCCAGCTCCGGTCAGCGGCTCCAGTCCAGACCCAGACGTCATCCCCTCTCCAGGTTCGGGGTCTCCCACACCAGGGTCCAGACAGGGCTTGGAGTATCGTGGGAGGAAGGAGAGGGGAGGCAGCGCGCTGAGGTCCAGACCAGACTAGGGGCGCAATAGGGAGGCGGAGAGTATGTGGTCGTCACGCCTGGAGCCGGATCCGCCTCCGAGGCGGAATGCCCACCCGGCCTCTACCCTGTTATGTAAAGGTTGTGCGGTCGGAGTCCGCACCTTTGGGGCGGGGTACTGTCAAGCCCTGACTCAGGGGACTCTTATATGTTGAGTCAGGGTGTGAATATTCTATGTTGTGTATATCTATGTGTATGATCTAGTATGTGTAGATCTATGTTGGCCGGTGTGGTTCCCAATCAGAGGCAGCTGTCACTCGTTGTATCTGATTGGGGATCATACTTAGGCAGCCTATTGGCACTCATTAGTTGTGGGATCTTGTTCCGTGTTTAGGCTAGTTTTGTGTTCAGCCTTTGGACATCACGTTTCGTTTGGTTTGTTGTTTTGTTTGTGTGTTTATTGGTAAATAAACATGTATGCATATCACGCTGCGCCTTGGTCTGACCCGTCCTTAAACGAACATGACACAGATTCTCAATTGGATTGAGGTCCGGGCTTTGACTAGGCCATTCCAAGACATTTAAATGTTTCCCCTTAAACCACTTGAGTGTTGCTTTAGCAGTATGCTTAGGGTCATTGACCTGCTGGAAGGTGAACCTCCGTCCCAGTCTCAAATCTCTGGAAGACTGAAACAGGTTTCCCTCAAGAATTTCCCTGTATTTAGCGCCATCCATCATTCCTTCAATTCTGACCAGTTTCCCAGTCCCTGCCGATGAAAAACATCGGGGTGATGAGAGGTGTTGGATTTGCGCCAGACATAGCGTTTTCCTTGATGCCAAAAAGCTCAATTTTAGTCTCATCTGACCGGAGTACCTTCTTCCATATGTTTGGGGAGTCTCCCACATGCCTTTTGGCGAACACCAAACGTGTTTGCTTATTTTTTCTTAAAGCAATGGCTTTAAGTGTACGGCTTAAAGTGGTCCTATGGACAAATACTCCAATCTCTAAGCTTTGCAGCTCCTTCAGGGTTATCTTTGGTCTCTTTGTGGCCTCTCTGATTAATGCCCTCCTTGCCTGGTCCGTGAGTTTTGGTGGGCGGCCCTCTCTTGGCAGGTTTGTTGTGGTGCCATATTCTTTCAATTTTTTAATAATGGATTTAATGGTGCTCCGTGGGATGTTCAAAGTTTCGGATATGTTTTTATAACCCAACCCTGTACTTCTCAGCAACTTTGTCCCTGACCTGTTTGGAAAGCTCCTTGGTCTTCATGGTGCCGCTTGCTTGGTGGTGCCCCTTGCTTAGTGGTGTTGCAGACTCTGGGGCCTTTCAGAACAGGTGTATATATACTGAGATCATGTGACACTTAGATTGCACACACGTGGACTTTATTTAACTAATTATGTGACTTCTGACGGTAATTGGTTGCACCAGATCTTATTTAGGGGCTTCATAGAAAAGGGGGTGACTACATATGCACGCACCACTTTTCCGTTATTTATGTTTTAGAATTACTTGAAACAAGTTATTTTTTTCATTTCACTTCACAAATTTGGACTATTTAGTGTATGTCTATTACATGAAATCCAAATAAAAATCAATTTAAATTACAGGTTGTAATACAACAAAATAGGAAAAACGCCAAGTGGGATGAATGCTTTTGCAAGGCACTGTAAGTACATTTGAGCAATTCCATTTACTTTAAATACTTAAGTATATTTCAAACAAAATACTGTTAGACTTTTACTCAAGTAGTATTTTACTGGGTGACTTTCACTTTTACTTGAGTAATTTTCTATTAAGTTATATTTACTTTTACTCAATTATGACAATTGAGTACTTTTTCCACCACTGGCTATAATATGTAACTTTTTGGGCGACTGGATAAAATTCACATAGAAATTTGAGTTATATATCTATAATTCTCTTTGAAAGCAAGTCTAAGAAGCGGTAGATCTGTTCTATGAGCGCTATTTCTATGTTTCCTGTTTTTAAGTATAGTTTCTTTGTAAGTCGCTCTGGATAAGAGCGTCTGCTAAATGACGTAAATGTAAATGTAATGTCTTTTACTTTTGGTTTTGTACACCAGCTTCAAACAGCTGAAAATACAATATTTTTTGGTTATGGAAAATAGATGGTTCAATGATTCTCTACACTATACTTACTAGTTTTGTCACATAAACTGAAATTAGGCGAGCTATTAGAATTTTAGCAACAAGGAAATGGCGAAGCGATTTCTGCATAGTGCACCTTATGAGGACTGTGTTGTATGTACATGTGCCCAGGAGACAACAAACTTACCAGGATCCAGGACCAGCTCCATCATGACCTCTTGGTCAGCCAGTCCAAGCAAATTAGTATTTGTTCAAAGTGGTGACCCAAAATAATAAATCTATACAAAAATAAATCTACAGAGGCATGCCTAAACTAAAGAGGTTAACTAACACAAAACAACACCAAACACTGGCAGGTCGAGAGGCCTCTGGTGACAGATTGCAAATTAAATCTGATTGCTCGCACTTGTGGACTTATCCTGGCAGAGCGCAGTCTTGACACTGTTGGTGCTGCCCCCTGGGGACGGAGTGTAGAAGTGGTAGTGTCTATTCCATTACAGTGTGTATAATACTGTCTCTCCATCCTAGGTCAGTATTTTGTGAGCACCATGGTTACCGTAGGGATGTCAGTGGTGGCGACTGTAGTTGTACTTCAGTACCATCACCACGACCCCAACAGTGGAGACATGCCTCAATGGGTAAGGCTCTAGGTCTGTCTATTGATCCTGAAGTGTGTCTGTGACTGTCTGTGTGTGTTCCTCTCATATCTGTGACTGTCTGTGTGTGTTCCTCTCATATCTGTGACTGTCTGTGTATGTTCCTCTCATATCTGTGACTGTCTGGACCTTGTGTATATCCTGTCCTTTTTTCTCAGATGCAGTTGGTTCTGCTGCAGTACATTCCCTGGTTCCTCTTATCTACTTACTATGTGTGTGTGTGTGTGTGTGTGTGTGTGTGTGTGTGTGTGTGTGTGTGTGTGTGTGTGTGTGTGTCTAAGCTGTGTGTCCTCTCCCTATCTCAGTTTTTTCTGCCACAGTGGGTCTCTGGGTCCTCTTGCCTACTCTCTCTGTGTGTGTTTGTCTCTCAGGTTGAGTTGGTTCTACTCCAGTGGGTTCCCTGGTTTCTGAGGATGAAGCGTCCAGGAGAGTGGGGCGAGCTCACACCCCACCACAGCCCCTCGAACCCCCAGACCAAGACCTGCTCCTCTCCCCCTACCACCACCACCACCACCCCGGTCCCCTCCACCCTCCCCCAGAGCCTCACCTCTCTGCAGGCCAGTCTCAGCCAGCCCCTACCACACCCACTGTCCAATCCTACACTCCAGTCCTATCCCAACAATAATCCAAACCCCCAGCCTAATATCCACCCTAACCCCAATCTCCCCTCCACCCCCCACCCTCAGCATAATCTCCCCTCCACCCCCCACCCTCAGCATAATCCCCCCTCCACCCCCCACCCTCAGCCCAATGGTCACCTGCCCTACATGGGCTTCCAGAGTCCTCCTGAACCAGACCCTGCTGTCACCTGGAGAGGAGGAAGAGGAGGAGGAAGGGGTTCTGATACCCCCATCCTCCACCACCACCCACCCTCCTCCACAATGTCTGGTAACCCCCCTCCACAAATATCTCTGGATCCTGACCCCTCAGGCTCCAGCTGTGTGGAGGCTGGGGCTGGAGCAGGTACGGGCCATGCCCAGACCGGGGTGTTTCAGGCTGGGGTAGTGGAGGCCCAGCTCCAGGCCCTGCTGGCGGAGGTGCGGTTCCTGGCCGATCATTTCCGTGAGCAGGACCGCAGGGTGAGTGTGGCGGAGAAGTGGCAGTTCGCAGCGGCAGTCATCGACCGTCTGTGTCTGGTGGGGTTCAGTGTGTTCAACATCATCTGTACCATCGCCATCCTCATGGCCGCACCCAACTTTGTGGAGGCCGCCTCCAAGGACTTCTTCTGAGGAGAGAGTGGGAAGAGGAGGGAGGAGAAGAGGACCATCGCTATCTTAATGGACCATGGCTGTACAGACTTACCATGTGGAAACTGGACAGTCACTTGAGTTGCTTGTCACCTCACCGTGTTACAAAAACGGAACTTGTGATTCTACATGGTGAAACTGTTTTAAATACTGCTGTTCATTTTAACTTTGTGGCTATGGATAAGAGTGTCACCTTAATGATTAAAATGTCAATATAAATCAGATTTGTGGCCTGCCAAAATTCAAAGTGCTTACTGTGCATTTCTTCCATCTTCTGGGTCTTCATGCGCAGTTTGGCTAATGTAGGGAATTAAGTGTCCAATCCTTCACTGATAATGATGTTATTGTCCTTTGGCCATGTGTTAATGAATGTGATGGTGGGAATTGGACAGAGGGGCCCGAGCTCAAACTGGGCTGGCCTCAGCTCAGCACTGCTTCAGCCAAAAGAACCACACACACACATTGAGACGTACACGGACATACACACAGACGTGTCAATTATGCACAAAAAACACGTTCATTTTGGCACCAGATTCTGGCAAGAGAAACTATCTTCTGTATTGTGTCATTCTCTGTTCCCTCTCTCTTGCTCACTGTCACTTTCTAATAATACTTTTTATAAATAAACATAACTGGTTGTTGACAGGCTGTCTGGAGGAACTAAAATAGGTGTCAGTCTACGTTTTGCATCTCAAAATAAATTATCTTATTTTCTACTAGTCTTTGCTGGACGGTCTCCCTCAGATCGAAGATCAGTTAACAGCGACGCAGAGGGAGAGGTGGAGGAAGAGAAAGAGAGGTAGGGGGCAAGAGAGAGAGAGATGCAGAGACAGAAAGATGCAGAGACAGAGAGAGAGAGAGATGCAGAGACAGAGAGAGGGGCAGAGACAGAGAGAGGGGCAGAGACAGAGAGAGATGCAGAGACACAGAGAGGGGCAGAGACAGAGAGAGATGCAGAGACAGAGAGAGGGGCAGAGAGAGATGCAGAGACAGAGAGAGCGAGAGATGCAGAGAGAGAGAGATGCAGAGACACAGAGAGAGATGCAGAGACAGAGAGAGGGGCAGAGAGAAATGCAGAAAGAGATATGGGATAGAGATAGGCAGAGAGAGTTTGAGTGATGCATTGTGAGATAGGGGGAGGACGAGAGAGAGATGCAGAGAGATAGAGAGATGTAGAGGAGAGAAAGGGGGGTAGAGGAAAGTGCTGACACAACGCAAATGGTAGAGAAACAGGGTTTTAACTGATTGGTCGTTAATGGAGGAGGGGGCGGGGGAGAGGGTGATTGCCGGTTCTAATATCTGACAGCAGTACTAAACATCTTCAATGTAGCGTTATGAGAGAGACAGGGCCTTATTCAGTGGACTGAGAGAAAAGGTTAAACACATACAGTGCCTTCAGAAAGTATTCATACGCTTTGACCTTCCATATTTTGTAGTGTTACAGCCTGAATTCAAAATAAATAAAAATTCTCACCCATCTACACACAAAACCCCATAATGACAAAGTGAAAACATGTTTTTAGATTTTTTGGCAAATGTATTGAAAATGAAATACAGAAATATCTCATTTACATAAGTAACACACCCCTGAGTCAATACTTTGTAGAAGCACCTTTGGAAGCGATTAAAGCTGTGTCTCTCTGGGTAAATTGGTTGTTGATCATTGACAGAAAAGATGCAGAGAATCTGTAACTCGGCCACTCAGAAACATTCACTGTCTTATTGGTAAGCAACTCCAGTGTAGATTTGGCCTTGTGTTTTAGGTTATTGTCCTGCTGAAAGGTGAATTCATCTCCCAGTGTCTGGTGGAAAGCAGACTGAACCAGGTTTTCCTCTAGGATTTTTCCTGTGCTTAGCTTCATTCGGTTTCTTTTGCATGTTTTGGAATACTTTTATTCTGTACAGGCTTCCTTCTTTTCCCTCTGTCAATTAGGTTAGTATTGTGGAGTAACTACAATGTTGTTGATCCATCCTCAGTGTTCTCCTATCACAGCCATTAAACTTTAACTGTTTTAAAGTCACCATTGTCCTCATAGTGAAATCCCTGAATTGTTTCCTTCCTCTCCAGCAACTGGGTTAGGAAGGACGCCTGTATCTTTGTAGTGACTGGGTGTATTGATACACCATCCAAAGTGTAATTAATAACTTCACCCTGCTCAAAGGGATATTCAAAGTCCAGAACAGACAATGGGAGGTGCACAGTACTACAGTACATAGAGCTATGGCTATATTCCACATCAGGTAACTGATGCAAGCAGTAGAATCAGATTTAAAAAACAGATACAAATACACCTTATGGAACAGCGGTGGCTGTGAAGAGAAACACACTCTACACACGGATTTTGTATTGTAGATATGTGATAGTAGATTAGTGGCCTGAGCGAACACACTTAATGTGTTGTGAACAGTGTAATGAAATGTCATGTCATGTAATATGTTTAATTGTATATAACTGCCTTAATGTTCTGGAACCCAGGAAGAGAAGCTGCTGCTTTGGCAGCAGCTAATTGGGATCCTTAATAAATACAAATGTCTGCTTTTTTAAATGTTTTACCCATCTACCAATAGGTGCCCTTCTTTGCGAGGCACTGGAAAACCTCCCTGGTCTTTGTGGTTGAATCTGTGTTTGAAATTCACTGCTCGACTGAGGGACCTTACAGATAATTGTATGTGTGGGGTAAAGAGATGAGGTAGTCATTCAAAAATCATGTTAAACACTATTATTCCACACAGAGTGAGTCCATGCAATTTATTATGTGAATTGTTAAGCACATTTTTACTCCTGAACTTAAGGCTTGCCATATCAAAGGGGTTGAATACTTATTAACTCAAGACATTTCAGCTTTTCATTTTTAATGAATTTGTTAAAATGTGGGAAAACATTATTCTACTTTGACCTTATGGGTATTGTGTGTAGGCCAGTGACAAAACAATCTAAATTTAATCAATTTCAAATTCAGACTGTAACACAACAATGTGGAAAAAGTCAAAGGGTGTGAATACTTTCTGAAGGCACTGTACATGCGGATGTGCTCTTAATCGTGAAAATGCACACACACCACACACACCACACACACACACACCACACTCACAGGAGCACTAGTAATGCAGTGCCAGGATGTGACTGCGGCAAGTCCTCTGTCCTGTCGCAGTTCACACATTTGCACAGGGATGCATCCACACACACACACACACACAAACACAGCCGTGTCTGCTCAGTTGGAAAATGAGAAGAGAGGGAGAAGAAGGAATGAAGATAAATAATGATGATTTATAGTCGCATTGGAAATATGTTCTAGACATGTTATAGGGACATTCAGGTTGGATTTCTCCTGGGCTAATGGACCCAAAGACACATCAACGGAATCTTTTCTGTTTAGAGTTTAGTGCCAACTTTTCAAGTCTCTGTTTTAAAACAGAGAATGTGTATTTAGTGGCTTTCTGTATCAGTCAGGTAGTGGTCTGTGATAGGCCCTGTGTAGCTCAGTTGGTAGAGCATGGCGCTTGCAACGCCAGGGTTGTGGATTCGATTCCCACGGGGGGCCAGTATGAAAATGTATGCACTCACTAACTGTAAATTGCTCTGGATAAGAGCGTCTGCTAAATGACTCAAATGTAATATCAATACTGCTTCATTAGTGGCTGTAGATGGCTCTGTGTGGGTCGATAAGGAGCCACTGACTGTCCAATGGATAATTGTCTTTCCGCTCTGATGAGAGAGAGAGAGAGAGAGAGAGAGAGAGAGAGAGAGAGAGAGAGAGAGAGAGAGAGAGAGAGAGAGAAGCTGTAATATGTCCTTTAAGATGCATAGTAAATGGTCCATCCTGGGTGGAGTAGAAAACATACTTCTCTTAGATAGCATTTGGCTTCAGTGGAACAATACATTATTATCTCTCCATCACCCTGTATCTATCCACGGTGTTTATCGATGAACAAACACAATCACAGACTTGTGTCAAGTGCCATACAGAAACACACACACTTTTCATTCTTGTGCACAAGTGCACTATAAACTAGGTAAGTGAGATTAGAGTTGGAGACACCAAAGGAGAGAAGACATCAATGTTTTGCATCAATAAATCATTTCATTTAAAATAATATGTTACAATTAATTACAATAAGTCAGTAAGTAACATTACTAAATGACTTTAGCGGTCATCAACTCAACCCTCTGTGGTTCTCTTCAGATTATTTTCTTTTCTCATTTGCTTGATTTGTCAGACAGGTGAAGATACTGTACAATAAGAGAAGTAGAGTTTGCTTAATATCTTACTTAAATAAAGAGTTGATGACGAGAGAGAGAAGGAGTGTGAGAGAGAGGGAGATATCGCAGATTAGAGGGCGAGATAGCAGAGACATGATTGACAAGTGAAGTAGCCTATGGGAGTGAGGCAGGATAAACAAACATCAGAACTACGCCTGTTGGAGATTCAGGTCCCAAATCAAATCACTCACAGTCACAGGAAAACCCATTGGTGTAGTGGTGCCTGGAGAAGTGAGTATACCGTAATTCTGCCCGAAAATGTTTCATACAAAAACTACAAAATAATTCATGTTTTAAGCCCACATCAATGATTAAACCACATAAGGAGACAATTTTTTAGGTCTGGGAAAAATCAAAAATAACATTTTTGGGAGGGTCTAGTTGCCCTTTAATTCACCTAGAAAAATACCATTTGGCTAGCAGTGTTTGTACTGTACAATGTAGGCCTACAGTAGAGTACATGTGAATTTTCAGCCATTTGGAACGGGTGTACAAAACAAAATAAAAGATGCAAAAACTGAACTTAAGAATGGGAAGAATAGAAATAGTGCACATAGAATACATCTACCACTTCTTAGACTTGCTTTCAATGAGAATGACATATCTATAACTCACATTTCTATGTGAATTTGTTGGGTCGCCCAAAAAGAAACATATTGCAGCTTTAATTAGGAAGGTTTCCTTGGGAAAGCATTTTAAAATGTTCATTCAAAACAGCACATGATGACTGAATTGCGCACTGCAAAGATTCAACCAAGACTTTGGACCAAACTTTTTCAATACCTGGTTTGCATACCCATCGTAGCCTTAGTTATCATATACTGGTAAATATAAGTTGAAATGTCTTTCCTACCTACCCTACCGGCTGTGAGCTGCTCCATGGGACAACCAGCTGAGAGCTCTTACTGCCATGGTATTCAGCTGAAACTAGGCTGTGTGCAGGTACATGTGAATATATTTCATGTGTTTTGCGATTGTGTAGGCTACTTTCTCTATAGGAACCACATCATTGATACGGCGCATACTGCCACTACACTACTTTCATACGCATCAGTGGGGATTAAGAAGTGAGTATACCCAATGTCCACTGAACAAAAAGTGGGTTTAGCACCCACTACACCACTGGGAAAACCCCACTGTATGTTAACACTGCATTTAAAGACTTGTGTGGTGTTGCCTCAACATCCAATGATATCATCCACCAGAGGATATTGAATCAGGTGTGTTACTGCTTGGCTGGAGCAAAAGCCTGCACCCACACCGGCCCTCTGTTAGAATACTGGCCAGCCCTGTTCTAGAGGAACTGATCTAGTGTTTCTCAGTGAGAGGGAGACCCCTGCAGGTAGTTCTGAGCACTGCAGCTTCTACAGACACACATGGACCAATGTATTATTAACTGAACCAGAGACACAGCTAAACCAACACAATAGACATATCCTATAGACTGACAATCACGGTGTGTTTTCCAAAGCATCACACCTTTTCTCAAGAACAGAAAGACACAAAACATGTAAATCGAGATGCACTTCTGAGTTCAGTGTTATTTACAATCCCCTGCATAAATACTGTCTTCATGAGAACCCACAGTTAGGCATCAGAAGAACACACAGCATAGGCTAGCACAGAATGAATACATATTGAGCTTAACATGGTCAACATCTTACAGGGTTGTTTTTGTGCTATCTTTCCAATGTCTGAAATGTCCACATTTTAAAATGTTTTTTTTATATTGTCTTTAGGAGGTGCACAAAACACACAGGTGAAGTAAACGTTCATTGTTCAGGTATCTGTCAAGATGGCAGAATACTTTCCTGGGATCCAATTCCTACATGATGAGCATTCTGTGTGTGTCAGTGTTTTTTTTATGGGAGGGTTTGTGTATAAAAAATGGTTTCAGGGCAATTTCAGCATCTGTAAAACAACAAAACAAAACAGAAACAGCAGCTGAAACACACACATTGCTACCCTTGGCTCTGCTCGGCCCAAAAGTCAAACAAATAAAGGAAATGTACGGTCTCTCTCTCTGTAATAGTCTCTTATATAGATCTCTTTGAAATGGAGATTGTGGCTACAAACAGGAGATAATATCTGTCTGTCTGTTTGTCTGTGTGGTTCATATGAGTCCAGTCTCTTACATTGTGGGGCCGTCTCCCTCCGTATGTCTGTCTGTCTGCCTCTGTTTAGACTCTGTCTGGGAATTAGGTTCAGAGTCACAGAGAAGGGCTGTGTTTCTACCTCCAGGGTTCCAACCTAGACACTCACAGCTCAGTCCATAATCAGTCTGCACACGCACCATATCATACATACCATATCATATCATACACACAACATATCACACACACACACAGAGGGATATGGTGTGTCATGAAAGTCACAAAGAAGCTCAATGTTCCTGTTTTTGCACTTTTCAGATGCGTCTCCTCAGTGTCACCTCAGTGATGACTTCTGTTCCATCACCACCAGCTGTTTACTCTTTTAAAACAGGTTCTGTTCCAGCATCTGTATCTCTCCTTTTTTCTCTTCTTCCACTGCACTCTGTTCCAGTCCAGAGCACTCCAAAGTGGCCACAAAACACCCAATGGCCTTGCACGTGTCAATTCCCTTGTCCAATAGCGTCCCAGAGAACCATCTCCTTCATCCAATCCCACTGCAAGACGTCAGCCTCCTTAGCCAATAGTCACAGGTCTCCATCACGTTTTAACCAAAGAGGTGATGCAATGTATGAAGGCATGTATCTAAGTCTTCAGAGTTACTTATTCACCTGTACAAAGCTGCTGTAAGTTTCTACTGTAGCATCCTGTTGGCTTGTCTAGTGTGTTTACATTGGGTGGTTGGGTTGTATTCAAGGGTTCATGGTGAGTAACAGCTTACGTTGTAGTGTGCGTGGTTGTTTCTCCTTCAATCAGTCCAGAAGTTATTCATTTGTAGTTTGATGGTGTGTAGTGGTTGTTGATCTGTAGTTGCTGTTATTGGTGTGTAGAAGTTGTAGTTTGTTGCTTTGTAGTTGGTGTAGTAGTAGTTGTGTGAGGACTGGTACTGGTGGTAGGTCGTTCCGGGCCGAGCCAGACCAGAGGGATGGATGGAGGAGTGCATGTTTAGGAGGTGATGATCTCTCCTCCTAGGTGCCTCCATCCCTTCTGTGTCTCAACAGCTGGAAGATATTCTGAAACAGAGACACGGCTCAGGAAACGACAACACACACACACGCAGGCTCGCAAACATGCACATGCACACGGACACTCGCTTGCATTCACACAAACACACAGGCACAGACAAACACACAACACACACACACACACACACACACACACACACACACACACACACACACACAGGCCCAGGCTGCTGCTGTACCAGTGACAGAGGCAGGCAAAGCCTTACCTTGCTACACATACCATCTTTACTGCAGTTCTTATTGTCCTTATCCACAGCCTCCTCTTCCACCTGGAGAAACACAATATTCCACAACATTATCAAAGAATATCATTGGAGAACATTCACAGAATATTAGCCAGTGAAATGTGCAGCATAAGACTGCTGGTTAGACAGTAGAGAGTATATCACAGCATACAACACTGTCCTTACCTCTTTCCTCCACTTGAGTTCACAGAAGACTCTCTCAACGCACTCATGCAAGTAGTTGAACTGGACACAGCACAGGACACACCGCACAACAAAGGGTTAACTTTCTGCACACTGATATATCATGTTCAGACATTTGTTGGGTGTGTGTGTGTATTTTAAGTGTGTGTGTGTGTGTGTGTGGGACTCACGTAGGGGGTAAAGATCTTGACCCAGCGAGGTTTCTTCTCTCCCCTGGCGTACTCGAAGCAGAAGGCCATGCCCTCCTCATCAGTGTCCCAGCGTTGCATCTCCACCCACTCAAACACGATCACCTGGTTCTGTTATAGAGAGACAGGGTCAACACACACATACATACAGTATACACACACACATACAGTACACACACACACACACAGACCACTTCTCCTTACCTCTAGCGTTCCCTCCTCTGTGCAGGCGTGCAGTTTAAAGTGGTGTATGCTGATGGCTGTGACGACGTGGCCTTTGCGTCGGGAGTCACAGGAGCAGTGAGGGAAGATGATCTCATTGTAGCCTTCACAGCCCCGTAACATACTGAGATACTGGGGGAGAGAGAACATTTAGGAGGTCAGACAATTGCTTCTAGAAATGATCCTATGTTCCATGTCTATTTTGATCATATATGCCATTTATATGCCAAGTCTTAGGCTACATGCACTAGCTTATTCCCATCTATTAAAAGCTTAACCTAACTTTACCCTTAACCAGAATGTAACACCAAATCAGTCATGTACTCCCTGACAAAGGCCATGAAGCCGAAACGCGTCAGAGTTTTAAAACGGTGTTTCCATTGAACATGTCATACAAATAAAGGCATTTTAATGTATTATATGAAGAGTGCCTTGGTCCTCCTTTCTTTATGAGTCATGTACTGTACCTGCTCATTAGTTGTGACAGTAACGTCCGTTGTAGCATGGCCATCTAGTGACTAGCAGAGAGAGAGAGAGAAACTAACCATGGCCATCTAGTGACTAGCAGAGGGAGAGAGAGACTAACCATGGCCATCTAGTGACTAGCAGAGGGAGAGAGAGACTAACCATGGCCATCTAGTGACTAGCAGAGAGGGAGAGAGAGAGACTAACCATGGCCATCTAGTGACTAGCAGAGAGAGAGAGACTAACCATGGCCATCTAGTGACTAGCAGAGAGGGAGAGAGAGAGACTAACCATGGCCTTCTAGTGACTAGCAGAGAGGGAGAGAGAGAGACTAACCATGGCCTTCTAGTGACTAGCAGAGAGGGAGAGAGAGAGACTAACCATGGCCATCTAGTGACTAGCAGAGAGGGAGAGAGAGAGACTAACCATGGCCTTCTAGTGACTAGCAGAGAGGGAGAGAGAGACTAACCATGGCCATCTAGTGACTAGCAGAGAGGGAGAGCGAGAGACTAACCATGGCCAACTAGTGACTAGCAGAGAGGGAGAGAGAGAGACTAACCATGGCCATCTAGTGACTAGCAGAGAGAGAGAGACTAACCATGGCCATCTAGTGACTAGCAGAGAGGGAGAGAGAGAGACTAACCATGGCCTTCTAGTGACTAGCAGAGAGGGAGAGAGAGAGACTAACCATGGCCTTCTAGTGACTAGCAGAGAGGGAGAGAGAGAGACTAACCATGGCCATCTAGTGACTAGCAGAGAGGGAGAGAGAGAGACTAACCATGGCCTTCTAGTGACTAGCAGAGAGGGAGAGAGAGACTAACCATGGCCATCTAGTGACTAGCAGAGAGGGAGAGCGAGAGACTAACCATGGCCATCTAGTGACTAGCAGAGAGGGAGAGAGAGACTAACCATGGCCATCTAGTGACTAGCAGAGAGAGAGAGCGAGAGACTAACCATGGCCATCTAGTGACTAGCAGAGAGGGAGAGAGAGAGACTAACCATGGCCATCTAGTGACTAGCAGAGAGAGAGAGACTAACCATGGCCATCTAGTGACTAGCAGAGAGAGAGAGACTAACCATGGCCATCTAGTGACTAGCAGAGAGGGAGAGAGAGAGAGACTAACCATGGCCATCTAGTGACTAGCAGAGAGAGAGAGAGAGAGACTAACCATGGCCATCTAATGACTAGCAGAGAGGGAGAGAGAAACTAACCATGGCCATCTAGTGACTAGCAGAGAGGGAGAGAGAGACTAACCATGGCCTTCTAGTGACTAGCAGAGAGAGATAGAGAGAGACTAACCATGGCCATCTAGTGACTAGCAGAGAGGGAGAGAGAGAGACTAACCATGGCCATCTAGTGACTAGCAGAGAGGGAGAGAGAGACTAACCATGGCCATCTAGTGACTAGTAGAGAGGGAGAGAGAGAGACTAACCATAGCCATCTAGTGACTAGCAGAGAGGGAGAGAAAGAGACTAACCATGGCCATCTAGTGACTAGCAGAGAGAGAGAGAGAGACTAACCATGGCCATCTAGTGACTAGTAGAGAGAGAGAGACTAACCATGGTCATCTAGTGACTAGCAGAGAGAGAGAGCGAGAGACTAACCATGGCCATCTAATGACTAGCAGAGAGAAAGAGCGAGAGACTAACCATGGCCATCTAGTGACTAGTAGAGAGAGAGAGACTAACCATGGTCATCTAGTGACTAGCAGAGAGAGAGAGCGAGAGAATAACCATGGCCATCTAGTGACTAGCAGAGAGAGAGAGCGAGAGACTAACCATGGCCATCTAGTGACTAGCAGAGAGAGAGAGCGAGAAACTAACCATGGCCATCTAGTGACTAGTAGAGAGACAGAGAGTAAACATGGCCATCTAGTGACTAGCAGAGAGGGAGAGAGAGAGACTAACCATGGCCATCTAATGACTAGCAGAGAGAGAGAGCGAGAGACTAACCATGGCCATCTAGTGACTAGCAGAGAGAGAGAGAGAGAGACTAACCATGGCCATCTAGTGACTAGCAGAGAGAGAGAGAGAGAGAGACTAACCATGGCCATCTAGTGACTAGCAGAGAGAGAGAGAGAGAGACTAACCATGGCCATCTAATGACTAGCAGAGAGAGAGAGAGAGAGACTAACCATGGCCATCTAGAGACAAGCAGAGAGAGAGAGAGAGACTAACCATGGCCATCTAATGACTAGCAGATAGAGAGAGACTAACCATGGCCATCTAGTGACTAGCAGAGAGAGAGAGCGAGAGACTAACCATGGCCATCTAATGACTAGCAGAGAGAGAGAGCGAGAGACTAACCATGGCCATCTAATGACTAGCAGAGAGAGAGAGCGAGAGACTAACCATGGCCATCTAGTGACTAGCAGAGAGAGAGAGCGAGAGACTAACCATGGCCATCTAGTGACTAGCAGAGAGCGAGAGACTAACCATGGCCATCTAGTGACTAGCAGAGAGAGAGAGAGCGAGAGACTAACCATGGCCATCTAGTGACTAGTAGAGAGAGAGAGACTAACCATGGCCATCTAGTGACTAGCAGAGAAAGAGAGCGAGAGACTAACCATGGCCATCTAGTGACTAGCAGAGAGAGAGAGTGAGAGACTAACCATGGCCATCTAATGACTAGCAGAGAGAGAGAGCGAGAGACTAACCATGGCCATCTAGTGACTAGCAGAGAGAGCGAGAGAGAGAGACTAACCATGGCCATCTAGTGACTAGCAGAGAGGGAGAGAGAGAGACTAACCATGGCCATCTAGTGACGAGCAGAGAGAGAGAGCGAGAGACTAACCATGGCCATCTAGTGACTAGCAGAGAGAGAGAGCGAGAGACTAACCATGGCCATCTAGTGACTAGCAGAGAGAGAGAGCGAGAGACTAACCATGGCCATCTAATGACTAGCAGAGAGAGAGAGAGAGAGAAACTAACCATGGCCATCAAGTGACTAGCAGAGAGAGAGAGCGAGAGACTAACCATGGCCATCTAGTGACTAGCAGAGAGAGAGAGCGAGAGACTAACCATGGCCATCTAGTGACTAGCAGAGAGAGAGAGCGAGAGACTAACCATGGCCATCTAGTGACTAGCAGAGAGGGAGAGAGAGAGAGAGACTAACCATGGCCATCTAGTGACTAGCAGAGAGAGAGAGAGAGAGACTAACCATGGCCATCTAGTGACTAGCAGAGAGGGAGAGAGAGAGACTAACCATGGCCATCTAGTGACTAGCAGAGAGGGAGAGAGAGAGACTAACCATGGCCATCTAGTGACTAGCAGAGAGGAGAGAGAGAGACTAACCATGGCCATCTAATGACTAGCAGAGAGGGAGAGACTAACCATGGCCATCTAATGACTAGCAGAGAGGGAGAGAGAGAGACTAACCATGGCCATCTAGTGACTAGCAGAGAGGGAGAGAGAGAGACTAACCATGGCCATCTAGTGACTAGCAGAGAGGGAGAGAGAGAGACTAACCATGGCCATCTAATGACTAGCAGAGAGGGAGAGACTAACCATGGCCATCTAGTGACTAGCAGAGAGGGAGAGAGAGACTAACCATGGCCATCTAGTGACTAGCAGAGAGGGAGAGAGAGAGACTAACCATGGCCATCTAGTGACTAGCAGAGAGGGAGAGCGAGAGACTAACCATGGCCATCTAGTGACTAGCAGAGAGGGAGAGAGAGAGACTAACCATGGCCATCTAGTGACTAGCAGAGAGGGAGAGAGAGAGACTAACCATGGCCATCTAGTGACTAGCAGAGAGGGAGAGAGAGAGACTAACCATGGCCATCTAATGACTAGCAGAGAGGGAGAGACTAACCATGGCCATCTAGTGACTAGCAGAGAGGGAGAGAGAGACTAACCATGGCCATCTAGTGACTAGCAGAGAGGGAGAGCGAGAGACTAACTATGGCCATCAAATGACTAGCAGAGAGGGAGAGAGAGAGACTAACCATGGCCATCTAGTGACTAGCAGAGAGGGAGAGACTAACCATGGCCATCTAATGACTAGCAGAGAGAGAGAGCGAGAGACTAACCATGGCCATCTAGTGACTAGCAGAGAGAGCGAGAGAGAGAGACTAACCATGGCCATCTAGTGACTAGCAGAGAGGGAGAGAGAGAGACTAACCATGGCCATCTAGTGACTAGCAGAGAGAGAGAGCGAGAGACTAACCATGGCCATCTAGTGACTAGCAGAGAGAGAGAGCGAGAGACTAACCATGGCCATCTAGTGACTAGCAGAGAGAGAGAGCGAGAGACTAACCATGGCCATCTAATGACTAGCAGAGAGAGAGAGAGAGAGAAACTAACCATGGCCATCTAGTGACTAGCAGAGAGAGAGAGCGAGAGACTAACCATGGCCATCTAGTGACTAGCAGAGAGAGAGAGAGAGAGACTAACCATGGCCATCTAGTGACTAGCAGAGAGAGAGAGTGAGAGACTAACCATGGCCATCTAGTGACTAGCAGAGAGGGAGAGAGAGAGACTAACCATGGCCATCTAGTGACTAGCAGAGAGAGAGAGAGAGAGACTAACCATGGCCATCTAGTGACTAGCAGAGAGGGAGAGAGAGAGACTAACCATGGCTATCTAGTGACTAGCAGAGAGGGAGAGAGAGAGAGAGACTAACCATGGCCATCTAGTGACTAGCAGAGAGGGAGAGAGAGAGACTAACCATGGCCATCTAGTGACTAGCAGAGAGGGAGAGAGAGAGACTAACCATGGCCATCTAGTGACTAGCAGAGAGGGAGAGAGAGAGACTAACCATGGCCATCTAGTGACTAGCAGAGAGGAGAGAGAGAGACTAACCATGGCCATCTAATGACTAGCAGAGAGGGAGAGACTAACCATGGCCATCTAATGACTAGCAGAGAGGGAGAGAGAGAGACTAACCATGGCCATCTAGTGACTAGCAGAGAGGGAGAGAGAGAGACTAACCATGGCCATCTAATGACTAGCAGAGAGGGAGAGACTAACCATGGCCATCTAGTGACTAGCAGAGAGGGAGAGAGAGACTAACCATGGCCATCTAGTGACTAGCAGAGAGGGAGAGCGAGAGACTAACCATGGCCATCTAGTGACTAGCAGAGAGGGAGAGAGAGAGACTAACCATGGCCATCTAGTGACTAGCAGAGAGGGAGAGAGAGAGACTAACCATGGCCATCTAGTGACTAGCAGAGAGGGAGAGAGAGAGACTAACCATGGCCATCTAATGACTAGCAGAGAGGGAGAGACTAACCATGGCCATCTAGTGACTAGCAGAGAGGGAGAGAGAGACTAACCATGGCCATCTAGTGACTAGCAGAGAGGGAGAGCGAGAGACTAACTATGGCCATCTAATGACTAGCAGAGAGGGAGAGAGAGAGACTAACCATGGCCATCTAGTGACTAGCAGAGAGGGAGAGACTAACCATGGCCATCTAGTGACTAGCGGAGAGAGAGAGAGAGGGACTAACCATGGCCATCTTCTTCTGTTCTGCTAGTTTCTGGAGCTGGTAGGACTTCTCCTCCGCCTTGATAAATCCCTTCTTCACATCATCCACCGCCTAAGGGAGGGAGGGCGGGGGGGAGAGAGAGAGAGAGAGAGAGAGAGAGAGAGAGAGAGAGAGAGAGAGAGAGAGAGAGAGAGAGAGAGAGAGAGAGAGAGAGAGAGAGAGAGAGAGAGAGAGAGAGAGAGAGAGAGAGAGAGAGAGAGAGAGAGAGAGAGAGAGAGAGAGAGAGATATATATATAATGGACAAACCAACTGAACTTTCCTTTACACACACACAAAATGCACACTCCCCTGACACACACACAAAATGCACACACACCTGGTGGAAGCAGTAGCTGACGGCCAGGTGGTTGTCATTGAGCAGGATCTCCTCCTCGGTGGTGAAGAGCCATTTGCGGAGGGTGAGGCAGGTCCCAGGGACAGCAGACGTATAGTTCTGAACATACAGCTTGTGGGGGAACTCATTAGGAGCCAGCTTACGCACTGACAGAGAGAGAGAGAGAGAGTGAGAGAGAGAGAGACCGAGAGAGAGAGAGACAGAGAGAGACAGAGACAGGGTTAGGTCGGTGGGTGTTTTGCGGTTGTAGCTAGATGGTATACAGCTACGGTAAGAAAGTTCCATGTTTGAGTTGCGTCAAGGAGAAATGTAGCATTTGACCTAACCCTTACCCTTTTCCTAACCTTAATCTAACTCTCCTTACCTGCTACATTAATTCTCCTAATCTGCTGTGTAAATTCTCCTAACCCGCTACGGAAAGTCAATTTTGTCCGTAGCTGTATACCATCTAGTCAAAACTGTGTTTCACTACGAATAGAAATGCTTTGCTCATATCCCCAACCAACCAAACATCACAACAGCAACATAATGAAGTAGTGATTCAATAAACAAAGCTCCTGGGTAGAACTAAATGTTAGCCTCTCTGATTAAAGACACACACATACACAGAGAGAGACAGACAGACACACAGGACTAGGTGTTAGCCTGTCTTTGATGGAAGAGGGACAGGGCTGACTAAACAGATCCTACTGAGCGGAGCCTGAGACTTCATTAAATGAATGAGAGACTGGCACCAGAGATCCTGGTGTATACATGCTGCTAGCTACATTCATGGGAGAAACGTGCAGGCCTCTATCCCAAATGAATGGGAAAGATAAGCAATGCTAGCCACTGTAGCAGGATCTACAGACAACATACACACTTTAGCTTGACTATTGAGGTAAAACTATTGTGAGTGAACTGTCCCTTTAACGACTCTGTATGTGAGTGAAATGTGCTTTAGGGGGGAAGATTCTGACCATATCAAAGTTATAATAACTCAACATCGGCTATTAATCATTCATTAAGGCCACTGAAGCGCAATAGAGCTTTTTACTGAGCTCTCAGATCCACTCTTTGTAATAAGAGCTCCCCCTGTAATAGGACCGCGCACACACCCACACACTCTGGGCAGAGGCCAAAGTCTCAGGCAATTAAGGTCAAGGCTGGAGTTAGCACATGGAAAAAGACTAGTCCTATAAAAAAAAATATCTCACCCTCACACACTTACCAAAGGAGTGGTTGATGACCTCAAACAGAGCAAAGTAGCTGGCCGTTATGCTGTCCATTCCTACTTTCATGACCACAGCCTGTGGGAGAGAGATCAAGAGAGTGAGAAAGCAAAGGAGTCCTGTGTATTAACAAGGAGTCATGTGTATTAACAAGGAGTCCTGTGTATTAACAAGGAGTCCTGCGTATTAACAAGGAGACCTGTGTATTAACAAGGAGTCCTGTGTATTAACAAGGAGTCCTGTGTATTAACAAGGAGTCCTGTGTATTAACAAGGAGTCCTGTGTATTAACAAGGAGTCCTGTGTATTAACAAGGAGTCCTGTGTATTAACAAGGAGACCTGCGTATTAACAAGAGGTCCTGCGTATTAACAAGGAGTCCTGCGTATTAACAAGGAGTCCTGTGTATAAACAAGGAGTCCTGTGTATTAACAAGGAGACCTGTGTATTAACAAGGAGACCTGTGTATTAACAAGGAGTCCTGTGTATAAATAAGGAGTCCTGTGTATTAACAAGGAGACCTGTGTATTAACAAGGAGATCTGTGTATAAACAAGGAGCCCTGTGTATTAACAAGAAGTACTGTGTATTAACAAGGAGTGCTGTGTATTAACAAGGAGTGCTGTGTACATTTACTGTCCAGCCTAGAAATGTTTCATGTGGGTCTAAGTGGTAACCAAGCTGGCCTGATGTTCCTGGGGATTAGGTGTGACGGTGTGGCCTGATGTTCCTGGGGACTAGGTGTGAGGGTGTGGCCTGATGTTCCAGGGGACTAGGTGTGAGGGTGTGGCCTGATGTTCCTGGGGACTAGGTGTGAGGGTGTGGCCTGATGTTCCTGGGGATTAGGTGTGACGGTGTGGCCTGATGTTCCTGGGGACTAGGTGTGAGGGTGTGGCCTGATGTTCCTGGGGACTAGGTGTGAGGGTGTGGCCTGATGTTCCAGGGGACTAGGTATGGCCTGATGTTCCTGGGGACTAGGTGTGAGGGTGTATATGTGAGGGCTGTACGTGTAACTAGGGGTTAGGTGTGTGTTACCTGGTAGACCTGGTCAGTAGTACAGTTCTTACGGACTCGGACTGTGACGGTGGTTTTATCAGGCAAGGCTATCCTCAACTCCACATCTGATACTCCGTTATAGTTCTACGGAGAGGGGGGGAGACAGAGATTACTTACAGCCAGGCGGGTGAGAAGGCAGTCACAGGACCACTCATAGGCCAGACAGACACACACAGCGTAGACAGAGACGGAAGAGCAGAAGAGAGGAAATCAAAAAGAAAAAAAGGACAGAGATGCCAGCCCCATCTCACACACCACACATCCCAGAGGATAGGATGAGAGTTAGAGAGGGAACGAGAAGTCTAAAAAAATAACACATCTTAGAGAGGAATAAGCAGCAAACACAGTCAGAATGACATGCTTACCTCATCAGACTCAGACAGAAACTCCTGCATCACGTCACTCTCCCCAATCACCCTCACTGAACACACTGTGAAGAGAGGAGAAGGGGTGGAGAAGGGGCAGGAGGATGGGGAAAAGGAGAGCGAGAGAGAAAGTAGAAACACTGAGAAAGGCAGATCCATTGTAGACACTCCCATGAGCCTCTATGAGTACCATGTTATCCTGACCATCTCTACCTCCTCTCCTATCCTTTCCTTTTCACATTTCTTCTTCTTCCTCCATTCATTAATCCCATCAACTTCCATCTTTTCCAGTTATCCCTCCTCCATCTCTCATTTCACCCCTTTCTATCACCTTTCCAAATGGTTTTCGCTCCATATTTCTCCTGATCTCTCTCTCTCTCTCTCTCTCTCTCTCTCTCTCTCTCTCTCTCTCTCACACCTTTCTCCATGTATTCCTCCAGTCCCCTGCGTCGAGCGTCTAGTTGTTGTTCAGACAGGGAGAAGGGCCATTTGCCAGGTATTTTGGGGAAGGTGTAGTTGGCAAACTCTCTCTTCAGGTTCTGGTTGAGGATAGCAAACTCTCTGTACCTTTTAGAGCACAGCTGTCTGCCTGCCATGTACACATTATACACCTGCAGACAGAGACACACAGTGTAAACATACTGTAGGCATACCTACATGTTATGTACATCTTTCCTCAGTCATTTTATGTCTCTCCCTCCCTCTCTCCCCTCGTTATGTTCAGTGTATTTGCATGTTGGGACAGATGATTGGTTGTTAGCACCACTCCTTCCCTCTCTCCATCCCCCCTCCCCTTCTCCTTCCTTGTCCTTCTCTCTCCTTCCCTCCATCTACTCACCACAAACCTCTCCTGGTTGAGTTCAGTGTGTTTGTATGTGGGGACGGAGATGGGGACGGCCTGTTTGTCGCTGTAGTCGTAGCAGGACTGGGCTGAGCCGTCGTCTCCGGGGTCCAGACAGTCAGCCTCCTGGGGAGGTACAGACAGCACGGCCAGCATCAGCTCCCTCTCCCCCGCACGGATCAGATCCACCACCTGCTTATGGGTCGCCCCCTCCACGTTTACACTATTACTGAGAGGAGGGATGGAGAGAGAGAGATAGAGGAGAAAGAGAGAGAGGGAGGTAAAGGAGAGAGAGAGATAGAAGGGAGAGAGGAGAGATAGAGATGTAGAGTAGATAAACTTAAAAAGGGCCCTTTTGCCATTTTTATCCTTTTTCCTCCACCCTCCCCCCATTTTCCACCCCCCCATTTTCCCATAAACCACCCCCCTTTTTTACCCCTTTCCCCCCCCAAACCCTTTTTCCCAAATTTTTGGTTTTCCCGGGGGGGGGGGGGGGGGGGGGGGGGGGGGGGGGGGGCCCCCCCCCCCCCCCCCCCCCCCCCCCCCCCCCCCCCCCCCCCCCCCCCCCCCCCCCCCCCCCCCCATTATTTTTGATTCTCCCTTTTTCCTTTCCCCCGTCCCGACTCTACCGGGCTCTCCCCCCTCCTCCCTCCAATCCCCCCCCTCGTCCTCTTCCCCCCCCCCATAACCCCCCCATGTTTTTCCCCCCTCCATTTCCCCTTTCAAAGGGGGGATTGGGGGGAAGACGGGAAAAAGGGGAAAGGGGAAAGGGGGAAGGGTAGTTGGGAAAACCCTTTTAAGGGTTTGGGGGATAGAAATTCTTCCTTTTGGAGGAACCGTTCCCCCTTGCCTGACAATTAAAATACATGAAAAGAAAACTTTTAAAAAAAAGGGGAATTTGTTTGTCCCTTTTTTTCCTCCCAGTTTTTTTGTTTTCCCCCTTTTTCCCGCCCTTCTTTCAGTGTATTTTAAGTTGGTACGGGGAAATTTTGAAAAGGCCCATCCCCCCTTTTCCCACCCCCCTCCCCTTCTTTCCTTCCCCTTTTCCTCCCTTCCCCCCAACTACCAATTCACCACAAACCTCTCCTGGGGTTTTTTTGTGTGTTTTTTGGTGGGGAAAAACGGGGGGATGGGGACTCCCCTTTTTTGGTGAAAGTCGAAGGCGATGGGCGGAGCCTTTTTCCCCGGGGGTTTCCAAACGTAGTTTGGGGGGTCTACAGAAACCAAAGATCTTTTGTCCCTTCCCCCCCCCCTTTGAATACCACCTATTTGTTATTTCGTTAAGTTCACAAAATTATGAAAAAGGCCCCTTTGCCTAGTAAACCCCCAGGAAATCTATGGGGTTTTTAAATTTTAAAGGAGAGGAAGCAGAAAGGGGGCCCAAAAAGGTTAGGGATAAAAACACAATTGCCAAAATACCCCCTGAGCCCCACTGAAAAAAAACCAACTATAAACAGCCAAATGCCGAAGAAAAAAAATTTGGGTTCCCCTTTCGCTGCCCCCCCCTTTTTTCCCTTTTTCCCCTTTTTTTAACAGTGTCACAATTTAATCAGTGTTTGTTGGGTGAGAAAGTGATTTCCCCTTTCAAATTCTGTTCCCGGGAAGGGGGCCGGTGGGGTTATGTGTCCAAACATGGAGTCCGGGATTTAACCTTCAAAAAAAGGGTTTGGGTTTTTCAAAAAAAACGGCAGCCTTTCACATTCCTGCTGTTGTTTAACGAAAGTTGCGGGTGTTAAAATTGAAAACAGCAGCACCAAGGAAATCTTTTTTACAAAAAATTCACCCAACACGGAAACTTTTACAGAAAAAAAAACCCCCTTAACCCCTTTTCCCCAGTTTTTTCGGGTTTTTCAAAAAATTTAGGAAAACCCCTTTGGGCCCATTACCTAATTTTGTTTGGGACGGGAAAAACGGTTGGGTTTTAAAATAAAACCAAGGGGAAAAAAGGGCCCCCTGAGACAAATTCTCCTCGACTGTGTGGGTTCCCTTACTTTTCTTGAATGTTTTTTTGGAAGGGGGGGTTAACTCCACCATGGGGGTAAAAAAGGGACCTTCGTTTGTGGTGGCCCGGGGAAAAAAAGGGGCCCCAAACAGGGGGTCCCCCCTGAAAATTAAATCCCTTGGCGGGTGTCAAAAAAAAACTGCTTTAAACCCCCTTAAACACACACCTTCCCCCCGGGTTAAAACTGAAACTCTAGGAAGCCCATCAAAAAAGAAAAAGGGGGAAGCCAACAAACAAAAACAAAAACAGACACATCCAAAAATCCCCGGAACAAACAGAACCAAAAACCCCCCCCTTAAACCCCTTTTTTTCCCCCCTCACCTTCAACCCAAAAACGGGTTGGGATTCCCTGAGTGTTTGGGCCCGGTGGCCTCCCATGGAACGAACCAAATTCCCAACTGTTTGTGCCTCTTTTTTGTGGCGGGGAAGAAAAACCATGGGGATTGCCCCACCCATCCAAACACGGGAGGGATTTGGGGTTTGGGATCTTTAAAATTTTTAGAAATGTTTTCCCCCCAATTTAATGGGGCTGGCCAAAACATTGGGAAACCCCCCCTTTAAAACCAAAAATTAAAAAACCCCGGGGTAGGAAAAATAAAAGCCCCAATGAAAGTAAAACACAGAAAGGCCTTTTTTCCAAATCTTTTCCCTATTTTTAATACCAATAACCCCCCAGCCCCCTTTTTTCCCCCCTGGAAACCCCATGTTAGGGACGGGGGCGGTTGGGGTTGTTCCCGGGTTTAAAAAAAGTAGAAATTTTGTTCCAATTCCCAAATTCCAACGCCAAAAGGGGGGAATTTTGGAATTGGAAATTTCAAGCCCCAAAACACAGAGGTTTTTTTCATTGTGTTTAACCTTCTTTGGGCCCCTTAAGGGAACTGGGTAAAACCAGGGGAAATTTTAAATTCTTTTATTAATAAAGCTTTGTAGCTAACCAGGTCCAATTTTAAAAAATTATTTTTAACTTTTTTTTTGTAAAAGGATGTTTTTTCTTGGAACCTGGGGTTGGGGGACAAGGGAACTGGGGTTTGGGTTTTTAATTTTACTGGGATTTTTAATTTTTTCCCGGAAAACAGGCCAAAAAAAGCCCCAACGGGTTTTTTTGGGAAACGGCCTTCCCCACAGGACGGGACAAAAATAACCGTCCTTTTCGGCTTTTGTTTGTGTGGTTTTATTTTTTGTTTTTTTTTGCCCGGGCCCTTGGGTTTTGGAAAAGAGGGGGGGTTTTAAAAATGGACGGAAGAAATTCAACATTTTTAGGGAAGGTTGTGTAAGGACAAAAAAGCCCTTTTTTTCGTTTTTTTTTTTTTCCCTCCTTAAAAATCTCCTAGCTTGCGCATGTAGCAGCTACCAGATAGCAAGCTAACTCTCACTTACACTTCCAGAATCCGGTCCCCTTTCGAGATACCGGCTTTGTCTGCTGCACCTCCCGGTAAAACTGCACTGACGTGCTGTAGCGGGGCATACAATTCCCCGTTGATGCTCCGTAGTTGCCCTCCTTCGCTAACCTGTCCCCGGACATTGAAGCCATATCCCGAGTCAGACTTGACTATCCGCACCAGTCGCGGGCCTGAAGTAACGGTAGTCACCGTTTGGCAACTGCCGGTGTCCTGCGTTGGGCTGACACCGGAGCCGTTACGTGAGGATGGCTGAACTAACGGAGGAGCCGCCGAATGAATTCCCTCTCCCTCGACGTCCGCCATTTTCCCTCAGCCTATTTCCCCCTTATCCACTTTGAGTCTCCCACACTAAGCTCTCCTAGTTATCTAGCTAGCTTGCTAGATGCAATGGAGTGAGGAGGAACGACCAAGTCAACGAAAACCGATTTGACTCGAGAGACTGCCCTCCCTGGAACACCCCCCTGTCCCTCGTCTGGTTAGAGTGTGTCTCTACTGCGCAACCGCAGAATCAAGATACTGGCCATGTTCGAGCGGATCCATTTTCTAAAGGCGATGGTCAAGCCTTCCAAAGTGTGTTGCATATGCCGCGTTCATGTGCTTGTCGGAACTAGAAAACGTGGATATTTCCGACTTGCTAACTGGTTGTAGTTATACACTTGCCCCGTTCAACGAATCAGCAAGTTGGACATTTCCAAATGTCCTACTTCCGACTAGCATGTGAACCCGGCAGTAAAGAGTACCATAGTATGAGTCATAATACCCATAAAACCTAGCGGTCAAACAGGGAATTGGTTCCAATCGTTTTTTCACCATAAATTTTTTCCATAGGGGATTTTAGAAACACTTCAAATAAGGGCTGTGTTTCGTGTAGGCTTACCCTGGTGGGACGTTGTGATAACTGTGTAAATCTCTACCAGACAAGGTGAGTTTGATCAATATATTCAACCGTATTTACCCCCCCCCCCCGCCCCCCCCCCCCCAAAAAAAAAAAAAGCTGCTATTGTGGCTATCATGCAGAACTACAAATGCCTGTCTCAAGCTTCACGTCACTCACCAGGGCCGTGATGATCTGGACAAGACTACTGAAACGAGGCAAATGTAAGAATCTCTGGATTAACTATCTAATGTTAGCTCAATTTGGTAATAAATACATTGGTAACATTAGTTCAAATCAAATCAAATCAAATTTTATTGGTCACATGCGCCGAATACAACAGGTGCAGACATTACAGTGAAATGCTTACTTACAGCCCTTAACCAACAGTGCATTTATTTTAAACAAAAAAAGTAAGAATAAAACAACAACAAAAAAGTGTTGAGAAAAAAAGAGCAGAAGTAAAATAAAGTGACAGTAGGGAGGCTATATATACAGTAAAATAAAGTGACAGTAGGGAGGCTATATATACAGGGGGGTACCGTTGCATAGTCAATGTGCGGGGGCACCGGCTAGTTGAGGTAGTTGAGGTAATATGTACATGTGGGTAGAGTTAAAGTGACTATGCATAAATACTTAACAGAGTAGCAGCAGCGTAAAAAGGATGGGGTGGGGGGCAGTGCAAATAGTCCGGGTAGCCATGATTAGCTGTTCAGGAGTCTTATGGCTTGGGGGTAGAAGCTGTTGAGAAGTCTTTTGGACCTAGACTTGGCACTCCGGTACCGCTTGCCGTGCGGTAGCAGAGAGAACAGTCTATGACTAGGGTGGCTGGAGTCTTTGACAATTTTGAGGGCCTTCCTCTGACACCGCCTGGTATAGAGGTCCTGGATGGCAGGGAGCTTTGCCCCAGTGATGTACTGGGCCGTACGCACTACCCTCTGTAGTGCCTTGCGGTCAGAGGCCAAGCAGTTGCCATACCAGGCGGTGATGCAACCAGTCAGGATGCTCTCGATGGTGCAGCTGTAGAATTTTTTGAGGATCTGAGGACCCATGCCAAATCTTTTTAGTCTCCTAAGGGGGAATAGGCTTTGTCGTGCCCTCTTCACGACTGTCTTGGTGTGTTTGGACCATGATAGTTCGTTGGTGATGTGGACACCAAGGAACTTGAAGCTCTCAACCTGTTCCACTACAGCCCCGTCGATGAGAATGGGGGCGTGCTCAGTCCTCTTTTTTTTCCTGTAGTCCACAATCATCTCCTTTGTCTTGGTCACGTTGAGGGAGAGGTTGTTGTCCTGGCACCACACGGCCAGATCTCTGACCTCCTCCCTATAGGCTGTCTCATCGTTGTCGGTGATCAGGCCTACCACTGTTGTGTCGTCGGCAAACTTAATGATGGTGTTGGAGTCGTGCCTGGCCATGCAGTCATGGGTGAACAGAGAGTACAGGAGGGGACTGAGCACGCACCCCTGAGGGGCCCCCGTGTTGAGGATCAGTGTGGCAGATGTGTTGTTACCTACCCTTACCACCTGGGGGCGGCCCGTCAGGAAGTCCAGGATCCAGTTGCAGAGGGAGGTGTTTAGTCCCAGGATCCTTAGCTTAGTGATGAGCTTAGAGGGCACTATGGTGTTGAATGCTGAGCTGTAGTCAATGAATAGCATTCTCACGTAGGTGTTCCTCTTGTCCAGGTGGGAAAGGGCAGTGTGTAGTGCGATAGAGATTGCATCATCTGTGGATCTGTTGGGGCGGTATGCAAATTGGAGTGGGTCTAGGGTTTCTGGGATTATGCTGTTGATGTGAGCCATGACCAGTCTTTCAAAGCACTTCATGGCTACAGACGTCAGTGCTACGGGTCGGTAGTCATTTAGGCAGGTTATCTTAGAGTTCTTGGGCACGGGGACTATGGTGGTCTGCTTGAAACATGTTGGTATTACAGACTCAGTCAGGGACATGTTGAAAATGTCAGTGAAGACACTTGCCAGTTGGTCAGCACATGCTCGGAGTACACGTCCTGGTAATCCGTCTGGCCCTGCGGCCTTGTGAATGTTGACCTGCTTAAAAGTCTTACTCACATCGGCTACGGAGAGCGTGATCACATAGTCGTCCGGAGCAGCTGGTGCTCTCATGCATGCTTCAGTGTTGCTTGCCTCGAAGCGAGCATAGAAGTGGTTTAGCTCGTCTGGTAGGCTTGTGTCACTGGGCAGCTCGCGGCTGTGCTTCCCTTTGTAGTCTGTAATAGTTTTCAAGCCCTGCCACATCCGACGAGCGTCAGAGCCAGTGTAGTATGATTCAATCTTAGACCTGTATTGACTCTTTGCCTGTTTGATGGTTCGTCGGAGGTCATAGCGGGATTTCTTATAAGCGTCCGGGTTAGAGTCCCGTTCCTTGAAAGCGGCAGCTCTACCCTTTAGCTCAGTGCGGATGTTTCCTGTAATCCATGGCTTCTGGTTGGGGTATGTACGTACGGTCACTGTGGGGACGACATCATCGATGCACTTATTGATGAAGCCAGTGACTGATGTGGTGTACTCCTCAATGCTGTCTGAAGAATCCCGGAACATGTTCCAGTCTGTGCTAGCAAAACAGTCCTGTAGCTTAGCATCTGCGTCATCTGACCACTTTTTTATTAACCGAATCACTGGTGCTTCCTGCTTCAGTTTTTGCTTATAAGCAGGAATCAGGAGGATAGAGTTATGGTCAGATTTGCCAAATGGAGGGCGAGGGAGAGCTTTGTATGCGTCTCTGTGTGTGGAGTAAAGGTGGTCTAGAGTTTTTTCCCCTTCTGGTTGCACATTTAACATGCTGGTAGAAATTAGGTAGAACGGATTTAAGTTTCCCTGCATTAAAGTCCCCGGCTACTAGGAGCGCTGCATCTGGATGAGCGTTTTCCTGTTGATTAATGGCCTTGTACAACTCATTCAGTGCAATCTTAATGCCAGCATTGGTTTGTGGTGGTAAATAGACAGCTATGAAAAATATAGATGAAAACTCTCTTGGTAAATAGTGTGGTCTACAGCTTATCATAAGATACTCTACCTCAGGCGAGCAAAACCTCGAGACTTCCTTAGTATTTGATTTTGTGCACCAGCTGTTGTTTACAAATATACACAGACCGCCGCCCCTTGTCTTACCAGAGTCAGACGTTCTGTCCTGCCGATGTAGCGTATAGCCTGCTAGCTGAATGTTGTCATTGTTGTCGTTCAGCCACGACTCCGTGAAACATAAGATATTACAGTTTTTAATGTCCCGTTGGTAGGATAACCGTAATCTTAAATCGTCAATTTTATTCTCAAAAGATTGAACGTTGGCTAATAGGATTGATGGGAGAGGCAGTTTACTCGCTCGCCGTCAGATCCTTACAAGGCACCCGGATCTGCGTCCACGATATCTCCGTCTCTTCCTCACGCGAATGACGGGGATCTGGGCCTTGTTGGGTGTCTGTAGAATATCCTTCGCGAACGCCTCGTTGAAGAAAAAGTCTTCGTCCAATGCGAGGTGAGTAATCGCTGTCCTGATATCCAGAAGCTCTCTTTGGTTATAAGAGACGATGGCAGAAACATTATGTACAAAATAAATTACAAATAACGCGGAAAAACACACATAATAGTACAATTGGTTAGAGGGCTGTAAAACGGCAGCCATCTTCTTCCGGCGCTGTTTAAATGGACAATTCTGTGAACTGTTTTGGGCAAGTTTTAAATTGACAAAATACCTGTTATCTACATTTACATTTACGTCATTTAGCAGACGCTCTTATCCAGAGCGACTTACAAATAGGTGCATTCACCCTATAGCCAGTGGGATAACCACTTTACAATATCATTTTTTTTTTATTTTTTTTTTTAGGGGGGGGGGGGGGGGGGGGTTGGGTAGAAGGATTACTTTATCCTATCCCAGGTATTCCTTAAAGAGGTGGGGTTTCAAATGTCTCCGGAAGGTGGTTAGTGACTCCGCTGTCTTGGCGTCGTGAGGGAGCTTGTTCCACCATTGGGGTGCCAGAGCAGCGAACAGTTTTGACTGGGCTGAGCGGGAACTATGCTTCCGCAGAGGAAGGGGAGCCAGCAGGCCAGAGGTGGATGAACGCAATGCCCTCGTTTGGATGTAGGGACTGATCAGAGCCTGAAGGTACAGAGGTGCCGATCCCCTCACAGCTCCATAGGCAAGCACCATGGTCTTATAACAGATGCGAGCTTCAACTGGAAGCCAGTGGAGTGTGCGGAGGAGCGGGGTGACGTGAGAGAACTTGGGAAGGTTGAACACCAGACGGGCTGCGGCATTCTGGATGAGTTGTAGGGGTTTAATGGCACAGGCAGGGAGCCCAGCCAACAGCGAGTTGCAGTAATCCAGACGGGAGATGACAAGTGCCTGGATTAGGACCTGTGCCGCTTCCTGTGTAAGGCAGGGTCGTACTCTCCGAATGTTGTAGAGCATGAACCTGCAGGATCGGGTCACCGCCTTGATGTTAGCGGAGAACGACAGGGTGTTGTCCAGGGTCACGCCAAGGCTCTTCGCACTCTGGGAGGAGGACACAACGGAGTTGTCAACCGTGATGGCGAGATCATGGAACGGGCAGTCCTTCCCCGGGAGGA